TAATGTTTCAATCAATAGTATACGTTTTTACCATATTGTTATTCCTAACAATTCAGATTCATAGGTAATAATCCCCATCTTCTCCATGTAAACGATTGGGGTGAGGATATTTAATTAAGTACATTTAAAATGTTTTCCCAGTAGTATTTTCCATAATTTTAAGTAATGCTTATTTTTGTTTCATACCTACATTTATAGGCTTCAGTTATAGTTGATTTTAAGATCCGAGCTGATAGATTGAATCACATTGTGGCTTCATTTTGGAATAAGGTGTTGGGGGTCTTTTAAGGCTGTTTGAACACATTTGACTGACTGCGCATCGGTCAGACCAAATGGGTTTTCAACAAGCTCTGGACATAGTAAAAAGTGGACAAGCTCAAAACATTTACACCTGTAAAAACTCTATCTGCTTGTTAATGACGTATCGGTGACGTATGGAATACTGTTTCCGGGACCAAGCTGCCACTCATTCATTTGAATTGAGAAAATATTTGTTTAGCATTTTTTAGTCATATCACACATTAACGTGAATCTTATATAAAATCAAGGTGTACACAATATTAAAAAAAAATTAACCACATTCTGGCCATCTGATAATAGGCATGAATTTATATACTGTGATAGTGATTTTCGAAAGCGTTAAATCGCTTTGTAAACGTTTATTATTTTGATGAGCATCCCCAGTTTGATATGGCGCTTGGACCCGAAAGCCACTTCACGTGATGTCACACTTAACAAGCGGACTCCACTTGTGTTCAAAAATGTCCATTTTGGAGCCAATGTGTGTCATGATTGCATGCAGACCAACAAGATCTCACGGCAATTCATAACAATTTGATGTAGTAGCTAATTCGTATGAATTTAAACGAATCTCATTCGTACAATTTACTACGACTCGCTTATCCCACAATGATGGTTGGGTTTAGAGGCGGGGTTTGGTGCCACGCCTCCTTTTTAAATTGGTACATTTTCGTACGACTGACTTCTAAATTTGCCATTAAACTGACAAAATGTAAAATAGTTACGTTTTCTCGTGAGATCAGGCTCTGGCTCCAAATGACATCACTGCAGCAAGATGATGGCGGCCATACCTGTTTTGGCTTCAAATTTCTGCAATGGATGTGTCATCCATCTTTTTTTTTTTTCTTTTTTTTTTTTACTTAAACAGTGATTGCAAAGTGTGCACATTCAAAAACCGAGGACTTGAAAGCATGCAACGCAGAACGCCCAGCCTCCATACATTATTTCTGTGAAATAAAGCAGTTTTCTATGTGTGCTTTTTTCAGTAAACACTCGCTGCAACTCAACTGGGGGCCAGAAGAAAGCAGCAGAAACGCGCTGAAGATGTGTTGTGTCCCCCGCAGAGGCTCGGCTGCTCCACAAATAGCCTTTTCAAGTAAGTTGCGGCGGGCCGTGCTCTCTTCAGATCAAAGCCGAGGACAGAGAACATGGGCCGTGTCCATTACACGCACCTCTGGCTGCACGGACCATCTAAACAACGCTTGAGGTGCTGGGAGTCGGAACAAAACCATGTAAGTCAGCTATTAAACTTTTATTGTTTTTTTCCCGCCTCTCTTTTTTTTTCTCTCTCTCTCAGAGCTGTTTTTAAGTTCCTGCGACGAATTCCTCCACGTTGCATAAAAGCATAATGCAGCCCCATTTCCACAGGCTGCGTCTTTGTAGGATAAAAGATATATGTGTACAAAAAGTGAGAACTCCCTGATGTTGGAGGTAGACAGTTGCTTTTCAAATCCTAGTTTTGGTCCTTTATTTTATTCAGCAGTGAAAAGCCATGAATACAGAAAATAATAACGGCCGTTACAGTTCTCAATCATGACCTCTACTCTCGCAGAAATCCGTAACATATGGACACAGTACACGGTAATGAAAAGTATCAAAAAACAGTCTCGATTCCTCGAAACCAAACCAAACGGCAAAAAAAAACAACCAAAAGGTATTCACCAATTACATAAACATGTTTTTTTTTTTTTTTTTTTTTCGTTTTTGCTACAGTTCCAATTTACTGTATACATAGGGGATCATATTCCCGGAGAATGATAGTTATTAGAAAGGATACATGACTCAACTGCCAGACGTAATGCTTCAGAACGTATGCACAGAGGTACAAGCAATAAATACACACATTAGGAAAAGCCTTACAGCTACGCAACGCAGATGCAGGAAAAAGCAGGTTTGCTATTCTTAGCAAGCAATGAGAGAACAGTAAAAATTCATGAATTTCAGGAAGAAAAAAAGAAAAACACTGATCTTTTTAGCTTAGAAAAAAATGTCTGGTAAATTCATGGGTCCACCAACATTTTTTTTTTCTCGTATCTTTTTACATAATATGCACAATTATCAAAATACAGACAAAATCATCCCAGAAAAAATCCCGGACAATCCTAAAATCTATTGAAGGAGATTGCCGACCTGGAGGTTCTTCTGGTATTATGTGCAAGCAACTATTTTAGACATTTTTTTTAAAATGTTTTTACAAAAAACCCATGCAAACTCTACAGGTAATATGCATTCTGTGGCTGAGAGTTTCTTTTGTCGATCATCATCTCCCCGCGGAAACAGTATAGCTGAGGTATGCACACTTTAGTCCATCAACATCATCATCCTGACATTTTTTTTTATCATATGTGTTTATTAATTCTTATTTCCAGTCCACCAAATGAATTTAGACATGCATTTTTAAGAACACAATATCATCCCCTTACAGGTATTTTTTTACATATTCATTCTACAAATGTCTTGAGGACAAACTAGTTCAATGCAAACCTTCCACATCTGCCTTTGGGAATGTAAACTGGCGCTTTTGGCGAGGTCCAGCGTGAATCGGGTTGGAAAAATGTGTCGGTGGCGTTCGAGCGACTCGTGCAATCTGCCATTTTTTCTCGTGTTGTGAAGAGGTAGAAGCCTTTTTTTTGGATAAGTGGGAGAAACCCTTTTTGTATCTTCTTATTCAAAGACGCTGCGTCCTTATATTTGGTGCCATAAAATTATTATGAATGTCATCTTCAAGTCAATTTGCTGACTCCAGCAAAGGATAAGGGATACGCTTTGTCCCTGGATCCAGCTCTGCTGTCTTATTAGAGTGTGTGTGTGTGTTTGCGTGTGCGCTAAACTAGCAGCCAACCCTAGGTTTGGCAAAAAACGGGAACAACTCCACGGTATGTTTCACACACACACACACACACACAGAGACAAAGTTTGACATTATCGGTTTACAACACAAAGCAGTAATCCGTTTCAAATGGGCTTTCTGCATTAGAGAACAATCAAAGTAAAGAGAAAGAAGAAAAGGAAACAGGCTTTGCGTTATTTTCAACTGTAGAGGCAGAAATCTGTATAACTTTGGTTTGACTGACTGAAAAGGAACTTTAAAGCAACAACCGCTTCTCCTCGATGACGTAAGCGACGTTCAAATAAAAGTGAGCGATCACTTCCTGTTTTACCTCAAAATAACCGGTTGCTACTTATACACCATACATGGTCTAACCACAAACCTTCGTGTCTATATAGCCATGAATTATACAATGAGTCTGAATCAATGGAGCAAAGCAAACGTCAGCTGGAAAAGGGGAGTCCTTTCCCTGTCATGGCTCTGTTATTTGCTTCTACAATATAACCAAGCCACATCATTTCACATCAACTTGAAATCATGACTTTTTTGGCTTCACTAGATATCTTAGAGTTTGGTTACTATATTTTTCGGTTTCGGCTCTGAAGTAAATTGACGGATATAAGACATGACACGTCGGACAGTCACAATGAACAGTACATTTCACTAGTAAAAAAAAAAAAACAATGATGAGATGCTTTACGCAAATAATACTAAATGAAACTCAATTTCTGCACTTCCACGAATGGATATTTTGGTCATGATCCATTTATAGCTGCTCTCTTGCTCTACCTGGCTCGAATTCACCAGGCCATATTGAGCACTCCGTCTGTCGATCAAATTACAGCAAAATCATCTCAAATCTTTGTACAGGGCTAAAGGAGATAATCCCAGAGGTTATTCGAAGGTAGTTAGTGAAAAAAGAAATAAGGAAAAGCTTCTTTGTACTAGTCACAGAAGACTGACCAAAGAGTCTGGCGGCTTCTGTCTAAGCTATTGGCCGTTGATAGTGTTGGCTTTGGTTTCTAGCTGTTGCCTGTGACTCTCTGCAGGTAGACAAAGCTTTAGAACAAGGAGGTAAAGAGACTAGAAGAGTATGCAGAAACGCGTTGTGTTTTCTGAGATGCAACTGAATCACACGTCACGGTTTCAGCAGAAGCAGAGCTGCTAGCGAGACCTACGTTTTTTGTGTACTTTTTTTTTGGACGGTTGCAACAGTCTTGATACCACGGTTGTGTTATTGACTTGACTTTAAGAAATGCCATTTACAGTTGGTGGTGTCGCAAACATGACTCGGAATGAACATAAGCTTGCAGGAGGAACATAAACAACAGTGATGAGGGAGGAGGGGGGAAAATTAACAGCAACAACAACAACGGAAAACAGCTTTTTTTTTTTGTTGGTTTTTCCTTTTTAAAATTTCGTCGACATACAGGCAGTGACACTAAATTTCTGATACTACTTCATGTGCAAAAAAAGAACAGAGCAACAACTTGAATTGAACCAGCAATTGCATCTAACACCGACGACTAATGTGGCTTGGATATTCACAAACTTAAAACTTCTTTTTTTTTTTGTTTTGTTTTTTTGGCAGTATATGTGGCCGCTGGCTTTCTACAGAACGCACTCGCTCCCGTTTCACTTCAGTTCCGTGAGCCTTGTGTTCGTTATGTGATTTGGCCAAGCGGATTCGGATGAAATCTTGTCCTTTTTGTTGTTCTTCCTTTCGTATGTTTGTTTTTAAAAAGCAGACCTCTCTCGTGTCTGTCCATCTGTGGTCCCTAAAGATCTGCGCTATAGATTTTCTTCGGGGCCAGTCTCCAGATGCATGCTAAATAAATACTCCCGCCTGCTGCGTCCAGTCTTTTTGCTGCGTTTGTGGTTTAGTTAAGGGGCGGGGCCTGAAAGGGGCAGAGCCCCAGCGGAGGGGTGGGGCAAAATAGTCATTCCAGATCCTCCGATAGGTTGCCCTCCTCAAGCTCCCTGTCATCATCCAGTTCAGGACTGTGATTGGCTGTGGTCACCAGTGACATCGGACAGTCCTCGTCCTCCATGTTCAGTGGCTCCTCCTTGACGTGAATGGGAGGCCTAATGAGAGAAATAACCAAAAATACAATTTAGTAAAAGGCCTGAGTAAACATGGATAAAAAGAAGGGTAAATTGGGTAAATGTTTTCAAAAAACTAGGTTTATTTGAATTAAAATACATTATTATGAATATTTGTCATGCATTTCTGCAATGTCAGTAAATTTTCATAATTTTTTTTTCATGTTCCTTTGGTTTGGCTAGGTTGCTGCCATAAGTGGTGTTTGTGAGACAAGCAGGGGGGGGGGCTCAACTTGCAGTCTGATTGGGTCCTAACGCCCCAGTATAGTGAAGAGAACTCTATACTGCTCAGTAAGCTCCATCTTTCAGATGAGACATTAAATCGAGGTCCTGACTCTCTGTGGTCATTAAAAATTCCAGAATTTGCCCACTGGCCTCTTTTGATCATGGTCTCCTAACCATGCCCAAACCATTGGCTTCAACACTTTATTTCCTATCCACTGATTAGCTAGTGTGTGATGTGGGATCTGGCACAATATGGCTGTCGTTGCATCATCCAGGTGGATGCTGTACACTGGTGGTGGATGAGAATATTCCCCCAAAAATGTTTCAAGCGCCTTGAATGTCCAGATAAAGCACGATATGAATGTAAGGATTAAATGCATTAATATAATGTTAAAGTACAGAGTTAAGTTTGTACTTTAATTTACAAATTTACAAAATGTATATTTTGATAACATTACACATTATTTATAATGAAACTTTTGATTATTTGAATGTGTCTTTTCTAAATATATTTTTAAATAAACCATTTTTTTAACCTGACACTAAAGTTTTGAATGCTACTTAGTAGTAAAAGTAGTTGTAATAATAATAATAATAATAAAGATCTTGACCATTTGCAATGACTATACTGTACTAAAATACAGCAGTCTATTGTAACATCTGTTATGACCAGAGGAAAAATGGTCGTGCTCTTTTTACAATTGGTGAAGTTTGTTCCTCGCCACTGTCGCCCCGGCATGCTTGGTTTAGGACTTCAATGGATTTGTTCTTTAGTGTTTGGACTGTCAGCAGTGAAAATTAAACCACACTGAACTAAACTAAACTGAACCTCAACTCTGAAAACTGGACTGACTTAGTTTCAATCTAGAACTTCTATGTTAAGTCAATTTGACACAATTTACATTGTAAAATCGCTATAGAAATAAAGATGAATTAAATCTATCATTAAACAAAAATAGCGATTGACCAATCAGAAGCAAGCATTCCTGAAAGCATCTAAAAGCTTTGTATTTCATTGAACATCAGTTGAAACCTGTAACTCATCAGCTGTGCAAAAACACATGCATTCAACACAGCAAAAACAGAAAAGTTAACAGCAATTAAACCCCGCTTAATGAAGCGCATGTGGAAAAGCGAAAGCTTTGACAGTAAAATATGCTCGCCGCTGAGAAGTTTACTGATGGCACCTGCTATTTAAAAAGGGAAAAAAGGAGTAGCTGCAGCCCCATTATAAATAATGGAGAATTTCTCATCCTCTCGCCCCCTGGAGCAACGATGGGGGGGTGCGGTTGTTGGCTGGGTGGGGGACGAGTGGAGCTTTTTTTTTTTTTTTTATCTTGTTAATAGAAAGTGCAGGCCTTCGTTAATATGCAGGGGCCGCGGTGGCACTTCTCAAGTGAGGAGACAACCTGCAGCAAGACTCCACCATTAATCAACTTCAGACTGCCAGTTCCCTCGGACACCATGATCCATGTTTTTAACTCCAAATGGATGAATATCTTTACCGACTGTCAATAAATGTGGGGAGGAAATAAATGCGAAAACACGGAAAAAGATGGCGGAAGTGAGGTTACTAACAAGAATAATAACTCTGTCATACACAAACAAGGCTTAACATGATCTCGGGGCCCTTGGCAGGGAGAGAGGTTTGTGCTACCATGATAAATCTGACAAAACCTAATTATTTCTGACACGTCGGATGCATCAGGAAATCCCGCCGGACTGGGGAAAAAGAGAGAGAGAGTGGAAACCTTATCAACTAGTCTCTGTATTAGGCCGTGTCTGGGCCGCTCTCTCCTGGGTCGCGCTCATCAATGGCACAGGGAACTTTGAATATGAAAAGAATTTTAAAAGGTACAGATTACTTTAATATTTATAGCAAAATAGATTAATATTCAGATGTGGAAGCACCGGGATGTTTCTGTCTGCTGGAGAGAGAGAGAGAGAGAGAGAGAGAAAGAGCACCGGACCACCACAATGATATATTTCACACCCTCCAGAAATACCTGCGAATGCCAATTGCAAACTTCTCCAGCCTTTATTAAAGCAATTAATTCAGGCACAATGGCGTCTGCTCGTCGCACAGCGTAATCTTGGCGAAAGATATGCTCTAGTTGGCATGTTCATTGCCTCTTCCTATAGTTCTCTATTCGTTTGACTAATTTTGCATGGTTTTGATCATTTCATGGAAATCCTTATCAGAATTTCCTTTCCATTTTACCACTGTATTCGCCATTATAATGTTTGCAGATATACATTTAGTTACAAAATAGTGCAGTGTTTCCCAACCCTGTTCCTGCAGGCACACCAGCATTTCATATATTGGATGTCTTCCTTATCTCACCCATTTATTTCAGATTTTGGAGTCTCTTCTAACGCTCTGATGAATTGATTGAGGTGTGTTTGATTAGGGAGAGGTTGAACATGTGTCCTGTTGGTGTGCTTTCAGGAACAGGGTTAAGGAACACTGCTATAAAGGACATTAGTAACTATCACAAACTTCTTTCTTATATTGATATTATAAATATTGTATATTTGTAATCTGCATAAACTGTTCGTTCTCATTTTCAGCTGTATTAGAATACACTAAAGGTGCTAAAAACTTCATAAAGATCAGTTTTGCAATCAATAATGTTACAAATTGTTATCATTTGTAGCATATATATGAAGTTTAATGGCACTATAATGTTTTAGACACCATTTGGACATCATTTAGACACAGATATCGTTGATATTAAAAATATTGTATATTTGTAATTTGCATAAACTGTTCGTTCTCATTCTCAGCTATCTTAGAATAAACTAATGGTGCTAAAATTTTCATAAAGATCAGTTTTGTAATCAATAATTTTGCAAATTATAATAATTTTTAACATATATATATATATATATGTGTGTGTGTGTGTGTGTGTGTGTGTGTGTGTGTGTGTGTGTGTGTGTGTGTGTGTGTGTGTGTGTGTGTGTGTGTGTGTGTATGTGTGTGTATAAAGTATAATGGCACTACAGTGTTTTAGACACCATTTAGACAGATATTATTGTTATTATGAATATTGCGTTTTTGTAATCTGCATAAACTGTTCGTTCTCATTTCCAACCACCTTAGAAATAACTAATGATGCTAAAATCTTCATAAAGATCAGTTTTGCAGTCAATAATGTTACAAATTCTAATCATTTTTAACATGTATATACATTAAAATGGCACTAGAATGTTTGACACCATATTTAGACACAGATATTATTGATATTATAAATATTGTATATTTGTAATCTGCATAAACTATTTGTTCTCATTTTTAGCCATTTTAGAATTAAATAATGATGCAAAAATCTTCAAAAAGATCAGTTTTGCAATCAAAAATGTTACAAATTCTAATAATTTGTAACGTTGATATAAATTATAATGGCACTAGAATGTTTTAAACACATCTATTCTGCAATATAAAACAGCATATTTAAAAACAGCAATCTGACATACACTTAAAGACTATTATTCAGTAACAAACAACATAATTTTGGGTGACAATTTCCCATCATGCCTTGCTCTATCTGACATATTCCCCATAAATGTATTAATTCATTTATAATTATAGGCTGTAATTTCAAATCATCTTAAAATCATGTTAGAAACTGTAACATGAGATATGAGTTCATTATAATACTTCTCATTACTAAACTTCTCTTACAGTTTTACTCATTATTAAATATGCACAAATTCAGCATACATCATTAAACTGAAATAAAGTCTGAGTTGTCATGAAAATGCTACAATGTCCAAAAAAAAGGTGATTTATAAATATATTTAATCTCTAACACTAGCATATTCAGCTGTGATTTAATAACAAAGTCGCTGCAATTTATTATAATATATCTGCTCATTTAACTGGCATCACCGTCACAGAGCTAAAATGTTTATAAACATTTATTTTGTCACAAACTAATGTGTAATGTGCCTATAAAAGTCACAGTTGACCGTCAGCGCTCATCTACCGCTCCCCCCGTCCACATTTATCGTTTGCTAACAAACAGATACGCTCAAAAGATATTACTGCGAGACAAATGATCCCGGCCGGTCGGACGTTCCACTGGCCATTAAGCGCGACACAGGCCTTTACTCCTAATGTGAAGAAGCATGGCTTACAGCTTTCATTTGCATTAATTATAAATCAGCGGCTTGCTTGCGAGGTCGGAGGAGGAAGAGAGAAATGATTAGTCCTTGCCGTCCCTTCTCCACTGTATTAAGATGTCAGGATGAGTCATTTAGTGTTTAATGAGAGGCTGGCATGAGGAAATCTGGAGCCTGAGTCTGTGCCAGTGTGTGTGTGTGTGTGTGTGTGGCACAGCGATTGAGTAAAAACACTTCTATTGCCTAAAATGATCAGACACGAGCATGACAGCAAACACCGACAATTTCTAATGTGTGCGTTGCTTTAATAGTTTATGATATGGCTTTCTGGAATACTGAATCTAAGTGGGTCTACAGTATATATTTTATATCTAGAGTATCAAGATATTACAATACATATTGATGAAAAAAAGAATGAAAAAAAAAGGATTTATTTCTGCTCTAATAATTATTGCAATATTCAAATTCATTTTTCAAAACTACATATTATGTGAACACACATTATATCTTAAAGTATCCCTTTACTTATCTAAAATGGCTTATTTCAGAACAAATCCTGATAAAAGATGAGCAAATATATACAGAAAAAATAGTTATTATTTAAAGTAAGTGGTTACAAACAGTTTCTATATGCTGAATTTAAACAAATTAAATTTAGTAATATAAAATGTTTGCAACCACTTACCTTTAAATAATTTAGTCAATACAATGAATCATATTTTGTTCAGTGTATTAATATAGTTTCAGTATAATTTGAAGTATAAAGTATAAGTATAAAGTATATATTTTGTTTCTTTGTAAATGTGTATTTATTTTAATTGTGACTAATTATAGGCTTTTATAATTGAAAGTAAAATTTGGGGGTATGAATATGAATGCTCCTCTCCTACTATTCATATTTAAAAAGAATAATAAAGATTATTCATATCTATTGTATGCATTAATACATATATACATATATATGTATATATACATATAAATTTATTATAAATTATTTCATGCTGTAATGCATTTTCATTTATTTATATTGTGAATAATTACGCCAAACTTCCATATTCAAATTGTATTATGGCACAACAACATGAATTTAAAGAGAGATCACTTAAAACCTTTAGTAAATTTCAGTTTGCAACCATTTTTAGTTTCCTAAAGTGACATATTTTTTAAAGTGAAACTTGATCAAACATGTATTTGTATTCTAAATAATTACTGTGAAACATTCAGCGGTTTTGCTTCCCTTAAGTAAAGAAGCATCATACATTTATTTTAAATTATATTTGAAGAAACTAAAAAATATTTACATTCATTTACATTCTGAATAATAACCAGAAAACATTAATAGTTAAGTTGTTTCAGAAGTAACAACTTGAAAGTGAATGCACATCTTGCTTATAAATAAATCTAAAAGTCAACTAGCAGTTTAAATCCCACTTTATACTCCGCCAAAGTGACATATTTCAAAGTGAAACCTGATGAAAAATGTATTTATATTATTATATATATTATTATTTTTAGAAATATTATATTATTATATTTATTATATAAATTCCAATAACTTCCCTAAAGTAAAGAAACATAATCTCTATACTTAATTATGTCCTGTATAATTACTATACTATATATTTCTTTCAAATTGAATATAATATTAGGTTATAATCATATTTAGATTGCATAAAAGCAAACTACCATACCACAGAAAACAGAATAGGGCAAAAATAATATAAGTGCAGCACACACACACATATCTGCACACACAGATATCATTAATGCAACATGTTCAGAGAAAGCTTCCTCCAATTGTTCAGCTTCTCAAGAGACAAAATGTGAATATGTTGTCCTCTTTAGCCTCTTCATTATTAAATGCAGCCCAGAAAAAGCCACGCGCAAAACACACATTTTCCATTTTGGCCATGTAGAGGTCATGTAAGAGAGATTTTACCTTTACTGAGCATTCATGTCTTATTGCTTCAGCCAGAAGGAGAGAAAACATGAAAAAAAATTGGGGTCTAAAAAAAACCCCACACACACCAGACTTGACTGTCGGTTATTAAAACTTAAATAACCTGAGGGAGTGAATACACAGGGATTCTGTCTGGATCTCCGATTTGGCCCACTTCACACTATATACTGTCCCACTTCTGGATCAAACACATTCCCTATTAACACACATTTCGGAAGCACGTCGTCGTGTGTTTTCTGGCTAATAGGGTCTTTGGGTTGGCATTAGGCACAGATGCGCGTGTCTGACACACTTCCGAGTGCCCTTAACGCTGCTATCTTTGGCTCTGTAAACACCGGGCCGTCCAGCATGAGTGACATCACTGATTAGAGCACGAGCACATGTTCTAGATCACCATTCGTGACCGAGCGGCACCGCATTAATCTTTCATCAGCCTCTGCTCTCTCTCTCTCTCATTCTCTGCCAGCCATTAAAAAAGATGGAAAGGCAAAAAGATTTTTAAAGTAATTAATGATATAGTTAGCTTCTAAATATTAATAGGAACGGTCGTGCATAAAATATAACATCTAAACCTCGACGATACAGACAGTGGAGTAATTACAAGGGGAATCTATAATTATGGCAGCCGCTTGCTTCTTTCCTATTTATAGGTAAGAGCTGTAATCCAAGAACCAAATGTACACTTAACCTAAGGTCTGCATCATTTTATTTATTTATTTATTTATTTATTTATTAAGCACGCTAAGGTTAGACGTAGTTTTGGAAGCTTGCAAGTATTTATGCTACTGTTCTCTTAGTGATATACTCATTTAAAATTATACTGCAATATTAAGATGATACAGTGTAATTGCTATAATATTATCCTCAGTATTATTTCAATAGTAAAGATTTTAGAATTAATTATTTTTGAGTCTTAAATATAACATCCAAATTGATGCTAGATTTTTCCTTAAGTCATTTTTATATAATTTAACATCAAAATGCGGTCTTTTTTTTCCATGTAATTGCGTTAATAAATAAAAAATAATAAAAAATATATATAATAAAAAATAATATTTCATTCCAGTTATAGGGTTTTTCCTGCTATATATATATATATATATATATATATATATATATATATATATATATATATATATATATATATATATATATATATCAATAAAATCCCTATGGAAATTTTGGAAATAAGTCACATTAAAATAGGAAAATAGGTAACATTAAAATTGACCACGAATACATTTTCAAATTTCCATTTAATGCACAAATCCATTTTAAAATAATATTTCATTAAATTATAGTGTTGTTTATATATATATATATATATATATATATATATATATATATATATATATATATATATATATATATATATATATATATATATATATATATATATATATATATATATATATGTATATATACACTAGCCAATCAAACAATAACCTACATTTTATAATCCAATTAAATAATCTTAAGGCCTTTTTTTTCATACATTTAAAGCAGGGGAGTCCAAACTCGGTCGCGAAGAGTGGGCATTCTGGAGAGATTAGCTCCAACCAAAATCAAACACACCTGAACCAGCTAATCAAGCTCTTACTAGATATACTAGAATCTTCCTGGCAGGTATGTTGAGGCAAGTTGGAGCTAAACTATGCTGGACACCCTTGACTTAAGGCATTTTGTATATACAATAGCTTTTATTCTTTGTTGTTTTTATTTCTTATACTGTATTTTGTTTAGTTTATTCTTATTTATGTAAAGCACTTTGAATTATTATTGTGTATGAAATGCATTACATAAATAAACTTGCCCTGCCTTGCTACTAGTTAGTTGGTTGGTTGGTTGGTTGGTTAGTTAGTTAGTAAAGAGTATTGAAAAATGGTTCTGCCTAACTGAGCCTGGATTCACTCGAGTTTTTTTTTTTTTCTTCACTTTTAACACTTGGTGAAGTTTTTTTCCTCGCCACTATTGCTACTGGCTTGCATGGTTTGGGACTTGTGGAGCTGCGATAGATTTGTTCTTCAGTGTATGGACTTTCAGCAGTTAAAATTAATCCACACTGAACTGAACTAAACTGAACTTCAGCTCTAAAATCTGGACTGACACAGTTTCAATTGACTAGAACTTCTATGTTAATCTGCTTTGCAATCTACATTGTAAAAGCGCTAAAGGAATAAAAATGGATTGAATTGTTTAGCGAACTCACAGGTGGGTGTGTGGGGAGTATCCAGGACTGCTGTGTCCATTGGTGTCCAGGTGGTCTAGTGTGCCGTTGAGTTCTTCATGCGTGGTTCCCTGTAAGAGTCCGGTCGGGCTGCCGCTCATCATTACTGGAGGACTTGCTCCCATCATAGCTGACGCGCTGTTCATCAAGCCCGGATTACCCAGAAGCGGCAAAGTGGTCTCCGCCAACGCAGCCTATGAGAGAAACAGACAGAGAAAATAATTCAACTGCAGCATTCAGCAGTCAGCATGACAACTTCTAGATTATCTCCAATTTCCGAGTCACTTCCAAATTACTGCTGAAGATTCTCTCCGTATGATAAAAAACAGATGAAAACTGCCGCAAAGTGGCAGGAAAAAAAAAACAACGGGAAAGTTTCTGAGTTGCAAAAACAATCTTTTCACCTTACAAGACAGGCCTCAAATGAACAGCGAATAAAGAAAGCCAGAGCACCCACATGATAATGAAACCGTCCAAAACTTTACCTCAAAACAGTCAAAGAAAAAAAAAAAAAAAAAAAAAAACGAAAGAAAGACTCCTGACATTTTTGCCTCCTGCACATTAAAGTTATATACAGTAATTAAATTTTAAAGTTTTTGCCACGAGCACCTCGCTGGCCGACACTGCGAAGCCAAATCATTTATGACAGTTTGGATAAATATTAATGATTATGCCCTCGCATTTGCACAGGCTGCTATCAATCTGAGGCCGGCTGGCAGAGAAGCTTCCTGCCTCTGCCACACGGTGTCCTTCTAGACTCTCACTGCCTGTGCCAACCTCACACACACACCCACATTTTACCTGTAAGCTGGCGTTAAGAGCTGCCCCATAACCCAGACTGGACGGCAGGTTTTTGACCAGCGTCGGGCTCCTAAATACAAAAGTAAAAGTGCATTAGCTTGACTGTAACACCAAATGATGAACAACGACAGACAGATAATGTTTTTGTGTGTGGGTGCGTGTGTGTGCAAGCATGCATGCATGTTTGTGTGTGTGTGTGTACCCTGTAATCTTCTGTGACCTGCGTTTCTGGTATTCCATCTCGTCCACGGTCCATACGGCGCCCTTCACGTTCTCTACTCGGACGAAACACTTGTGCAGGCTGAGGTTGTGTCGCACTGCGTTCTGTTGGACAAGCACAAATCGTACACAATTAATCATGCATCTTTGTTTTGTCAATACTACTACTACTACTACTACTAATAATAATAATAATAATAATAATAATGATAATCATTTTAAAACCTCAATTTCAGGGGTGCCCAAACTTTTTCTTACAAAGGGCCAAAAACCAAACTTGATTGAGGGCTGTGGGCCGAAGTGAAATTTTGAGGGATTTAAACAAAACAAATGGTCTCAACGTATTTCCTGTTTTACATTATTAATTTCTGTAGCTTCTGCGAAGCCAAAATATTGATAAATAATCTTATGATAGCTGTTTTATCATTGAGTTATGATTAAATTGCCTCGTGTTACAGTTATGAAATAGTTTGATAACAAGCTGGAAATGTTCATGGGTCAATGACAAATACCAAACCGTATTACATTATCTTTGCCATGGGTAATTTATTTGCTAATATTCCAAATTAAATCTTATTAACTATTATTAACTATTAATTAATGATGCAGTATCATTTTTGACATTTTATAATGATCTTATTATAGTCAAAACATAAACAATCCCATTCATAACACAATGAAGTTCAATGCTGAATACACAAGTCGAGTTGCTCCTGCCTTTGCCTTGATTTGCTCACCGATCTCTTGTGCATTGTCCTCTATCTGTCAGCCGACAGTATTTACATTTAAAAAGTCTGATTCATATGAAAGATTTAATTGAAACATTAATTTTTGTAGCTCCTTAATTCAAATGACAATCTCTGTTAAAGGCATTCAACCCAAAACAACTCCCCATTATTCTCTCTCTCTTTTCAGATGGGATGGTGGGCCAAACCAAAGGTTTCAATGGGCCAACTCTGGGCGGCGGGCCCTACTTTGCGCTCATCTGCTTTAGACTAATGTCATAATATCTATACTAAATACTAAAATACAATACTAAAATCATAATATTCCAAATTATTCAATGTTGTACACACTTATGTCTCAAATATGATTAATAATCATTCTACAATTAATTCTAAAGATTAAACGCCTTAATATTTACCCATTACACTTAACAATTTGACCAGCAAACATCGTACAATCATGATCAAGAAGGTTAAAAAATGATGATAATAATAATAAAGAAATACAGGGAGTCTCACACGTGGCCATAAAAGAATCTAATTAAAAGATGTAGCAAAGAAGCCAAATAATAACCTTTGCTCATATTACATTTTTTTCATGTTTTATTTGAGGGGCGGGTGTTTTTTTGCTCTAAGAAAAGAGAGAGAGGAATATAAAAAAAAAAAAACCCTCATAAGCAGATCTCGCATCTGACCTGAAAATCCCAGGATTTGATTGATCTTAATGCCCATGGCTCTGAATATGATAATTTTAATATTAATGAGCAAATGAGCAGTTTTATTATGCATGCTATATAGTTATAACTAATAAGCTGGCGGGGCTGAGAGCTCGATCCCCAAGCTGAGCTGATGAGACCAAGCACAGATATTAAATCACCTTTCATTCCTTTTTAAAAATTCTCTCTGTTAATCAAATGACAAGCCCGTCACCAGCCGGCCCTCACAAAAGAGCAGGGAGGCTCCGAATGGAAATTCCTGCTCTGCTATTGTAGAAGGAGGGACCCGAATACGGCGAAAGCCCTTCTTTGTTACAGGCGGGACCAGATTAAAATATTTCCTCGATAAGAGCTGGAAACAGGGACGCATATGTGGCCGTAAAATGCTTAAAAACGCAAGCGCTCCAGCAGCAAATGAGTCGTGGCCCAGCATGCATCTGTACGGGGAGCTATTGCACACCCTTGTGGAGCTGTAATCATACACCAGCATCATTAGCAAGCCAAATCCAAATTAATTCACTTTGCTAAATCTAGTGCTGGGAAATGCTCCGCATGCTGATGAGAGCCGGAGAAACCTTTGAGAGGACCAGCGTAAAAATAGAAGAGGAAAAATACCACCAGTGTATCTTATCGAAGCTCGCTGAGCTCTCTTTGTCTAAAAATAGAGGATGGTTTTTATTGTACCCTCCATTTCTTTTCATCCCCGTCTGACAATGTATTTGTTGGGACAGAGATACAAATGGGGCCTTTTGTCCCGGGAAATAAAGTGTGTTTCTTAGTTGACAGGAGCATTAGCGCTTTAGATCCAGGCGGGTCTTAACCTCTCACTCCATTTGTCTTGTTCTCCTTGAGTTTTTGTCTTGGCGTTTGAGTTATAGTGTATATACGAAAGGCTCGGCCCGACATCAACAACAACAAGGAAAAGGGATGTATCGGCGAGCGTCTACAAGGCAAACAGCCATATTTCAACGTAATTAACCAATAATATGCAGGGTAGAAGGGGGGGATGAAAAGGAGACACTGAGAAAGCAGTAATACGCCACGTCTAACAAAAGGTGCTGATGATTGAGTGGCTGGTTAGTAATTAGCGCGTCAGAGCGCACACCTCCCCATCAAGACTCGCCTATTAATTGCACCGAATTAGAAAACGATATCAGAGGCTGAATTATTCTTTCACTTGTCACAGAGAGCGAGCGAGATAAAGAGAAAATTCTTGCTTTTCAGGAGGTAGTAAAAAAAAAAAGGGGGGGGGACGATCACTGCTAATCACCCCCCAAGTCACTTTCAAGCCTTGCAAGGACATTACCTTCCAGGTGGCGGCGTTGCGTCGGAAGTAGGCGAAGGTGCGCGTGAACCAGCTGTAGATTTCGTTGAGCGTTAGCTGCATGTCACTTGACTCCATGATAGCCTGCGATGAGATGCCATTAAGCGCTGCGTTAGAGACTGGAGTGCGTCAAGGCGCTCTCACCCAGACTTAATTCAAGCGCCAATTAATTACAATCTAATCAGGCTAAAGCTAATTTATTTCCCACTCACCTGCCTGATGAGGGTTGCATAAGTAAACGGCGGCCTGACGTCGGCGTTCTTGTAAAACTCGTAGTTTGGGGCGATTTCTGTAAAAAGGCAAACAAATAAGGAAGAAGTAAGCAGCAGATAAATAAATACATAAGAAATAAATAACAGTGTCGCCACCTGGGATGATTGCTAAACGCGTCTCCGCCAGGAATTCATTCAGAGTTTTATCAAATTAAAACGGGAGACGGAGTTTAGAGGGAGGGGGGACACCTCAAATCAGCATTTTACATGTCCAACTAAATACATTTTTAATTAATCTCTCTCTGGAGAAATCTTAAACATTAACACGCTGGTGAAATTAGAGCCTGCGTCGATATTTTGTATGTGTCTGAATAATTCATGCCCTCCCTGCTGCTTCCAACACTTGCAGAAGACCAGTAAATATAAACATCAAACAAGAACATGCTTTCTTGAATATTGCATTAGTTGATATTTGTCTGTAATTAAAATGCGTTGAATATTGATGGTTTGATTTTAGCATCGTCTGAATAAAAAGAAAAACATGTTCGAACCTGAGGACAAGGCCATGGAGTATTTGTCGGTGTGGCGTCTACGCATGGCACCCATGCTGGGCACATTGGCGGGACTGAGAACGTTGGGCACCTGGGGCATCTGGGAAAGAGGTGTGACTGGAGCAGTGGGCGTGGTTGGCGTCTGAGGTAAATTTGGGGGTGAGATGGACGGGAGGTTCTTTGACATGGTGACACTGGAGACCAGATTCAACTAGAGGAGAGGAAGAAAGAGAGAGAGAGAGAGATTGTAATGAGTGCTGGCTCTTTCCTACAGCTGTGTTTCCCCTAATAAGCAAAGGAGGAAGCAGCCAATCTGCACTAATTACAGGATGAAATTGTATCATAAGAATTCTAATTAGAGCACGCTGTTAAAGATTATCTAATGATCAGGCTGTGAGTTATCCCGGCCCCATCTCTATCCCGTAAGAGCTCCCTGGATGCAAAACACACACACATGCACGCTGTGAGAAGTGATCACCTGGCTTGCTGCCATAACCTGGTGCCTTACTGGTGATCGGTCTCGCTCTCTTCCTGTCGTACCACTTAAACAGAGAGTCAAGTTTTTAATCGATATCTATTTTCATGTCCAAACTTCCCTTCGAGTGAAAAATAATAATAATAAATCCCTGACCTTTAGTCTCACTGTTAATTTTGCTGAATGGTAATGACATCATTGCATATTCAAACCAAATTGCCTTAATTGCAAATTGGCAAGCAGAATTCCGGTGCTGTCGAGATTGAAAACGACCGCCAGTTGGACATCAACAACCGTTTGTGGCACGTGTTGATAAATACAATGAAATGTCAAGCCGGCGACTGCGCTGCTGCTCCATAGACAATTACAGCTCCACTTAACGATAATGAGATAATGCCAACACAGAGAGTGGCACGCGCTATACCACTTCGCAAGAAATCAATGACTCCTCTTGGGGAATGTAGAATCCTGGCTAACGACTGGAACTAAGACCTTGAAAGGAAATTAATGACAGAGACACGCTGTCTACCAGAGGGACGTCTTAGGAAAAGGGCAAACAGTTATGTTTTTGACACTACGACGTCATGTGCTGAGTAAATACTTCTGTGTTTAATGTCAACATGAAGCCAAAATTAACCCCATTTACTTCTAAACATGTACTTGTTTTTTTTTTGTTTGTTTTTTTACACTTAGTCCCTTTATTAAATAGGAGTCGCCACAGCGGAATGAACTGTTTTATGCAGTGGATGCTGTTCCAGCGGGAACCCAGTACTGGGAAACATTCATACACACTTATTTATGCACACTACGGCCAATTTAGCTTATTTAATTCACCTACAGTGCATGTCTTTCATGGGCCGGTAAAGGTTTCTGACAGTATGATAACCTTGGATAAAAATATTACAGTTTCACAGTATCATGGTATTGTGATTACTACTATAAAATAAGTTATTTTAAAATTTTGGGGTTAAAAAAACAACTACCTTTTGCCCATTAAACACAATATAGTTTATTTTAGGCTACATAATTAAAATAAATAAATGATATCTGCTATCTTCATTAAAACACAGATTTCTGTACAAGACAAAAAAACCTTACATATATCTTCGAAACGGTAAAACTCTAGCAGGTTTAAAAACTTGACTCTTCCAAACCACAGTAAACCTTGAAACCGGTTATCATCCCCCGCCTACTTTGTGCTGTTGGGGAAACCAGAGCACCTGGAGAAAACCCACACGTACCTGGTCTTATTATGAACAATTCATTAGTGCATAATATTCAAAATGTATTATTTAAATGCATAAAAAACTCAAACAAACATACTTCGCTAATACTATCATCTTCTGATAATTAATTTTCAATATAGGTACCAAAAAGACGCTATGCTATGAACGTTATGCTAATGAACGTAGCTTTGTCACATTACATAAAATAAATTTTTTTGTGTGATGAATTGCAGATATCATCTATCTTTGCTTTCAAAAACCGCTTTGCTTGATGTGTATAACACATTGCGTAATTCGCCAGAGCCTGGGTCACGGCACCAGATTTGAGGATTGTCCTTCTTAATATCTTTCTCATTGTGACTAAACCACCACATCAGCAGGTAAATACACAGTACTCAGTACACAGCACCAGAGGGACGTCTTAGGAAAAGGGCAAACAGTTGTGTTTTTGACACTCTGACGTCATATGCTAAGTAAATACTTGTGTGTTTAATGTCAACATGAAGCCAAAATTAACTCTAAACTATTTACTTCTAAACATGTAACTAGTCCTCTATACGACTTATTCACTTTATTTATAAGGCATCGCCACAGCGGAATGAACCACTAACTTATCTAGCATATGTTATTATGTAGTGGATGTCGTTCCAGCTGCAACCCAGTACTGGTAAACATTCATACAAACACTACGCCAATTTAGCTTATTCAATTCACCTATAGCGCAAGTGTTTGGACTGTGGGGGAAACCAGAACACCCGGCGGGTACCTGGTCATATTATGAACAATTCATTAGTGCATATTATTAAAAATTTATGAATTAATTGCATAAAAAATAATTTTATTATTAATTGCATTAATAATAACATATTCTGATTACCAGAAACACATTATGCTATGAATGTTATGTTAATAAACGTAGCTGTCACATGATATAAAATAATTTTTTTTGTGTGCTGAATTTCTGATATCTTCCATCTTTGCTGTCAAAAACTCAGCTTGATGTGTATAACACATTGCATAATTCGCCCAAGCCTGGGTCACGGCACCAGATTTGAGGATTGTCCTTCTTAATATCTTTCCCATTGCGGCCAAACCACCACATCAGCAGGTAATTACACAGTACTCTAATCTAAAAAGGTTTTGATACACTGCCAAACACTGGAGAAAAGCACTTCATAATAAATCCTATCAGTGAGTGAGTGAGTGGGGAAATAGGCAGCGTGCCGCATGTATATTTAAAATGTTAAGACAAGATTTTCCTTTCCTTTCCTCACCTGGTAATGGCAACAAGCGTAACATGTTTGCAGGCATACAAACCGCTGTTTGCAAAATGGAATTTATTAAAGCTTAACTGAGCAGGAGTGAATGAGACACAGGGATCAGCCCTTTACTACCGCTGCTCATCTGAATATATATTCAAGGTTGGCTGAGAGGGAAGGGGTTGAGGGGGGGAAAAAGAGCCCCTCATTATTCAGGACTAGCAGCCTTGGTAACTTTGATTTTCAGCCATCCATGGCATGGCCAAAAGGTAACATTTAATGAAGTGCCATTCAGAGTTTAAATGGGGTCGTATAACAGTGTACCAGCACCTTGTGTTGGGCTACTGATAGCTGTTGAGGGTTTGCCGCTGCTCATTTTGTCGTGCTAATAAATCCGCACTATTAATATTTATCAAATGTGTGGGATGGTTCTCTGTGCGTATGAGGGCGTGAAAGTACCCCCGTATTATCTTTAACATCCTTTTCTTGTGTGCGGAAAGGATACACGTGTTCTCTTTTGTACCTGCAAAAGCGATAACGTTAAAGCACTCGCGAGAGCCAGACACTTGCACTAAGACAAAAAGGAAAGAGCTGGGGAAAAAAAAAAGAAACGTAGACCCTCGCTGATTATTTAAGAACTCTTCATTAATTGCTCATCATCAAATGCAATTAGCAGTCCTTTCATGTGCCGTTTATGTAATGTAATACTTCATTAATATTATTCATTCATATGCGGCCATGGATTATAGGCTGAACGTTTTTTATTAGAGTCGATTTCGCCGAGCTGCTGGAGATCTGAGGATGGAAAAAAAAACTGAATAATAAATCGACAGAGGTGAGCAATCGATTCCTGATGGATTTACAGGATAATTATTCTGTCTTGTGATTATCCTGCTTTATACGGTGGGAGGTGATGAGTAGGGAAAATTTATGCTGGTGAAATTTGCTAAGCGGCGGCAACACTCTAACAATGTTTTCCCCTGCAATATATTGAATAAATAATTACAATAAATAATATTTTAGCACAGCCTACTCGCATTTGTAAACACTTGCATTTCCAAGCACAACAATCAGTGTATTTTGCGTTTGATTTATGGTTGGGTGGAAATATAATCTACAGGGATCCAGAAAAATGAGTCTTTTTCACATACCGCTCTATTTTTTATCCCTTCAAATACACAGCTATATCTCTGAATGTTTACAGATTACGGGTTATTTCTTCACAGATCATCTTCCCGCGGTTTCCATCTATCATTTCAAACTGTTTGTTTTTTCTGCAACGAAACGTCTTCCCCCCCCCCTAGTTTAAGTGTGTCTGCGGTCGCGGTGCTAAACAGCTTTTACCGGCCAACAGGTTGTTTGCCGTGCTAAAGCCATCAGAGTGTAATGGCTCTGCGTTTTTTGGCTGAGATCGGGTGTATGATTTAATGCTCTCTCGGCCCTGATAGGGTCCCAAGAAAGCAGGCATTACAAATCCCATTCTCCTCTCGCCCTCCAGCCGTGTTTAGAGAGCTCATTTACCATCCGAGTCCTGTTTACTGTACGCGTACCAATATGCACTCACCGGTTTTGGTGATGGTTTGGGCTCTGAGGGCCTCATGTGCAAGTGTGCCATCATCGCCTGAAGACGCTCGCGTTCTTTAGAAAGCTGTTAGTGAAAAGAGGGAGAGAGAGAGAGAGAGAAGAAAGAAAACAAGACCAGTTTTAGAAATGAGTGATTTTCCCCAGACTACCACGGTAATACATCTTGTTATCGAGCTTGTCTGCTTGTAATAAATCCTGAATACGGCCGGACTGGCTTCCTTAAGCTTGCCTTAAAGAAATGGGGGAAATAAAAAAGCAAGGGTTTTCCACTAGAGGGTCATGACCTGAAAACAAACAGGCTGGAGGTCTGTTTTGATGGGGTCATGGACGGCTGCACAACAACAATGTTAAACGCGGATAAAAAATCCACTTAAGCATACACTTGAGTATAGTCAGGACTGAACAATAAACACACTCATGCATGTTTTAAAGGGCAAGATGCATCACAACATTTCAATATAGCAAACTGACAGTCAGTTAGTAATGTTATTGTAATATTTGTAGTTATAATTAGGTTATGCACAGTCAGATTTAGCATATTACACAATATATCACGTGCTAAAAACTTTAAATATGCTACTTATTTGAACAGGCTTGGAGATATTAATAAGCAGCATTAGGCATTTTAACAGCATTTGCTTAGAGCACTCATCATTTTAACACTAGAACCTCCATGGGGTCAATTTTACCCATCACTGTTATTCAAATGTATAAAACAGACCTTTAATAAAACAATCAAGCCTCCCAGTCATTGACTTTTACTAAAATTGCATTATTTACAATTCCCAGATATTAACTATTGTTTAGATAAAAACAGATCAAAAAGTGGAACATTTATACCTATAAGCGCCAATGTGGGTCAAAAGCTCCTAATATAAAAAAGTGCTTGTATTTATGCACTGCTTATGTTTTTAATTACTCACCAATGACTTTTACCCTCGAAAATAAGATGATTCATCTCAAGGGGCTATCCCATTCAATAAATTCAAATTCATTTTAAATTCACTTTCAGTTTTACCCACTGAATTAGTGGTAATAATAAATAAGTAAAGTTACAATGACTAAAAGAAGGTGATTTGTAGAGCTTTTAAAACACAAAATGCAGTGAATGGTGGAGAGTTTGGAGAAATAAGTTATGCATCAGAGTATGATCGCTCAAATGTAGATATTTTAACCTACTCATAACCTTCTCCTAAAATAATCTTATTATTATCCTGAAATGATATTTTCTTGAGTCTAGACATTTTTTGTTAACAGTGGAGAAAAACAGCTTTTTTATAGCAATGTCGAAACAAAATTTGTGCAAGGTAACATTTACCCGCATTTGTAGTTATAGGAATACAGCAACCTCCGGCGATTCTAGTGTTAAGTGGCTTATTGGTGAGTGGATTAAGTGATCAGACGTGCTCCAACATTAGGCATATTCAAATCAAGACTTCAAACACATCTGTTTAGCTGTGCCTTTACTGAAGGAGCACTGTGCTACGTCCCACGGATCACAATATTCGGTCTTTCTTTTCTTTTTCATCTATTGTTTTAACACATTTTCATTATTTTTATTATTTATTTTTATCTTATTATGAAGTAATAGTATTCAATAGTATTATATAGTAATAGATTAGTATTTAATGTTTCTTTTATTCCAGTATTTGTAAAGCACTTTGAATTACCAGTGTGTATGAAACGTATAAAAAACTATATAAAAAAAACTTGCCTTAATTTCTTAACTTTAAAGTGTGGAAATGTATATTACCTAATATAATAATTGTTAAAAAAAAGTATGCATTCACATAAGACTTAATTTTGCTATCAGTTTTGAACAGCTTTGAACACTTAAAGTCTTGAAGCAAAGCCAGTCGAGAAGCAACGAGGCAGATTAAAGCAAAGATAAGAGAAGCATTCCTCCTGGCACAGTGATGGAGAGCTGAAGGTGGTGCTCGGAGGTCACCGGAAACAAATAGCACTTCATCTTTTTGTCAATAGCAGAATTTAGGTCAGCAAAGCTCTGACAGTAACAAGCTACTCAGGCCATAAATTAGAGGGTCCTGGTCGTCGACTCAAAGTCCTGTGGACACTGTTAGGGCTGGACTGGATCTAGCAGCTGCCGAAAGGTGAAGGGGTCCCGCAAACAGAGTGCCAGTTGGTCCCGCCTCCCTGCCTCCTCCCGGGTCCTCCGAGGTCCAGTTAGTGCCCCGGCGATCTGTTATCATCAATCTAACTCAGAGAGAGTGACAGGGACCAGCCCGCGCGGCGCACCGCCTTGAACTCCGCTAGCGAGCAGCCATTGGAGCTCTGAACCGGGCCTCATTACCACTGACGGAGGACGAGGAGGAAAAAAAAGAAGCCCAGAAGGACAGAAAACAGCAGTGCTTCTGTAATTGGTCACAGTGTAAGCACTCTGGCTTTGGGAACAAGAGAACAAGTCAAGAGAGAAATCGTGATGTCCTTCTGTTATTTTACATATAAACAAGAATTATTCATCGTTCTGTTTCAAGAGCCCAACAAATAAATAGGGCGGTTTTGCCGAGCGTAAAAACCTTTAAAGGTTGCGGGGAACGCTTGGCTTGCATTCAGATGGGCATCACGGAGGCTTAGAGGGGCCTCGGTCAGAAAGCAATCCGTACTACAAAGGCGATTTTGTGCAAAATGCAAACAAAGACGCAAGCCACAATTACGCCGCAAGCCAAACCTGTTATTTATTGGAAATGACCAGAAGAAAGATGGATTTTAACCACATAAAGTGCATCCCATGATGCACCAGAAGGTGCGAGGTAAAGAGCGTTAACTGGCGGGAGAGATGGCCGCAGCGCTGAGTAATAGCATCCCTCAATCACTGCTCTCATTATCTCGCCAGCGTGACACCTTAATAAGGTCACGCTCCAGCTACTGAAAATAGTGGCTCTCTTTAGAGGTTCCTTCAGGTGCAAAGTGTATTTAATTAACACAGTCCAGCCCAGATGCGCGCATATTAATTGGACGGGATAGAAAATAAGCACAAACCATGATTCAATTATAAAGGCCCGTGATGGTTTTCACCTTTGTTGGGATGGATTTGCTCAAGGTGTCCCTTGTGCATTTTTACACTTTGTGCGCTGCAGGTTTTTATGGCAACAAGCTAATTAATGATATGCACTGGAAATCTTTGGTGTTATGCTGTGAAAAAGCAGTTCAAGTTGAACAAGTGTGTGTTAAAGACGACATCAAAATCCACACCCACTTTTCATAAGCCAATTTAGTCCTGATGTACAGAATCAAGTCACTTTAATTTATTAGTGGGACTAATATCTAAATAATGACTGTTTTCAAACAGGTTTTTATGCCACTGATTGGATAAATAGCTAGTCTGGAGTTCATTAACATGCAATGATAAATATCAATAACAAAAATCAGAGCACAATGGTGTAGGTTAGCATTAACCAAACCCTTTAGTATTATAAGAGCTGTTAAATTGTTAAATAAGTAGCAAATGAGAAGTTGCCAGCGCATTGTGTAATATGCTAAATTTGATAATTACAATTATAACTTCAAATATTATGTTAGCATTACCAACTGACTACATAAACTAATGTTTATTGGTGGAACGCCTACACGATTCTCAATTCATAAAGAAAACACATCACACATGAATGTTTAATGTCATATTTCATATTAAAAAGCTCTTTCAAAAACAACAATTCTGCCATGCCATTCTATTCCTTTATGATCACTTGAGCTTTTATAGAGAAACAATAAATGGGCTCCAAATGGACAATAAACCAACTTTCAGTGCATGTTTTCAAATTGCTAAGTCAACAATCTCAGACTTGTCCAATCTGGGTGAACTGTTCCTATGAGTACCGAGTATGTTTGGGATGATAATTGTGCGTCTACTGTACCTGTATCTCTAGCTGTTGTACCACCTGCATCTGTACTCGGCACTGCGCAGTACTCCTGTCATCCAGTGCGTGTTCATTGTTAAGGTGCCTGTAGGAAAAGAGGACAATCTGATGAAAAACTAACCCCACACTTACACAATGTACTACTAATAACCGCTTCCTGTTGATCAACTACTACTGTTGTTGATGAATATGATTTCTGGATTACAGGACGTCCATCCCATTAGCTTTTAACAAACCGCCGCCATCTAACAAGTGTGTCCCATGCTTGATGAAAGCCGGTGTTTAACATCACAATAGAGCGGCTGTCATGCGAATGAGAGGCAGCGCTCAGAACACAACGGCTTATGAGGGATGTTGGCGTACAAAAGGCCTCGCGCAGAGGTTTTGTCTTGTACATTTATCAAGAAATAAATACAATAAATGCAATTTAACTCGAGTAACGTTTAAAAAGCGCCTCCTACGAAGAGTGCATTATTCCGACGACATATTAAACGTATCTACTCATCCTTTCATTAGAATATTACGCTGGAAAAAAAACCCACTTCAGACTGCAGGAGCAGTCAATGGCGGTTTTCCTTGATTGGATTTTGTCTGCAGGACACAAAAGAAGCCCGCCATTAAAATAGACCTTTATTCCCGGCGAACGCACGGAGGCGAAAAGGTTTTTAAAAGTGTTGTGATGTTCGGTAATGAGCCTCTATCTAAATTATCATTGGTGACAAACCCACAAAGCGCTCTTTTAGAAGACATGCTTGTGAAATGCCAATGCTGCCACTCTCTTTCCTGTAATTATAGGTTAGCTTGCAGACCCTTCAATGATCATTTACAGTACAACCTCCAGTGCATTAGTGTGAGCTTAAATTGCGCACACACACTCGCACGCAAACACACACCCACCCACACCGAGCTAGTTTTAACACTACTAAGCATTTTCCCTGTTCATTCTCTATTCATAGCGCGAGCTATTGTTTATGTGCAAAAACGCAAAATAACAACGTATTCATAATCCTCCTCAAACACGCCAATCAAAGCGGAGGACATTTGAGAACACAATGGCCGCCGCTACCTTTCAATTACACCCGTGCCCATTTAAAATTATTTCATTCCATCACGCCTGCTTTTGCTATTGTAACCGTTCAGGTCTAATGCTCAGATATTCTCCATTATAAATCAAGAGCGAGATAGCATTGAACACGGAGGAAAAAAAAAACATAGAGGATGACTGGAGAGTCGGTGCCTTTCTCCGGCCCCGTGCCTAATTGCTGTTTCAGAATGCGCATGCAAAGGGGCATTTCATTAATCATGTAATCAGGTCCCTCGCAGGGAACTAATGCTGCAAATACCCTTTTCATTTCAATGCTCATAATGCTATCTTACGCACTTGATGTATGGTGGATGTCATAAATTACAGCTGCTTCAAAAGCCACGACTGGCTAGTTCTGCCGTCCCGACAGGTAGCTTGCTAAATAACACATCTTATCTCGCATGCCCCGTTTCTCATTAGCGACCATCTAGATCCTAATCTGGTTTCCTTGCTTCTTTTAGAGGCTTAAGAGGTTTTCTATCCTAATGGAGGCTAGTTTCTAATTCTACGAGTCAGTAGAATAAATAAAAAGATGTTTTTTTTTTGTAAAGATAAAAAGCCACAACTGTGAGTTTTTAGTAGCCAGCTGAATTGAGATATGTGGAGGCTTTCAGTGCTAACGTTAGCCAGAGCTGGTTAGCAGTGGTGATTACATCCAGATTACTGCATGGATATGAAATATTCAAGCAGTAGGTGTTTGACTATGCATTGATAAAAGCAGGAGGGCTGCGGAGGGGGTTAGATGCAGTCACCAATATCTCTTAATGAGCCTGTGGTGCTGGGTTTAGTTCAAACAGAGAGGTGAGAGGAGAATGAGACAGGGCCGCCCGCTCGCTCTGAGCAAACATCTCTGGAGCTGCCTGTAATTTATGGGTCACTTTATAGGCATATTGATTTTTGTTTTGAGATGGGGAATGAGGGCTCTGATGGTCTAAGAAACAGAGGGACAGGTATGGTGCATTCCAAAACCACAAACGAAACGAAATCAGCAAGCTGAATAAGACGAACTTCAATCTGGCCACCAATCGTTTGGCTAATACTGGATTGATTCTTGCAGGACTCATCGCCTTCAACTGGACATATGTTGATTAATCTAACTCGGGACTTCCTGTTGGCTTTCATTAGTGCCCAGTTAAAGATGCTTCCATTTAAGTAGGGTAAGCGCAGCAGGTTGCTTCGCCACAGTTAAATGTTAAGGAGCTGGAAAGGAAGATTCATTTCAGTGAAAAAGCCCCATAAGGATGGGCAAGAGTTTGTTTACTAAACCCAAATTGCGTCCGCATGGGAAAGATGCTACTGCAAATGGCAAGCATGCGATGACAGCCCGTCAATCTTTATTACAGGCCAGCGGGTACGTCTGTATTTTTCTCTCCCTACTCATCCTGACTCTTCTCAAACATGTGAGAGGAAATCAATAGGGGAACTAGGCCAGCAATCTGCAGCTTAAACAATAACAAAATCGCCTGCATGGCAGAACAACATTAGAACGCCTATGAATTCATTAGCCCCCTCTTTTAGCTGCGCATAACCCCCAAATAAGTTGCCCCAAATCAGACCCGCAAGACGTGTGCTTTGTTGCATTAATACACACGTCTCGAGGTGTACCTGCTTGCACGCGTGCCTATTTGAACTTCAGAGCTAATATAACGTGCCAGGCACCTCTTGGCTACCCCTCTCCAGGTGCACGCTGCATGAAAGAGAGCGTAGCTGCGCTTAAATGCTGATCTTGACAACTTTCTCAGCAACACAACAAAGATTACAAAACCGTGGCTGGTTTCTTCTCCGCAAGCTACAAGCCTGTACAGGTTGGGTGAATCCCTCCGCCCCTGCCTCCCCCATCAAAGGTGCCATTTGAATCTGACACCTATTTTATGTAAACCATTTTAAGCGTGTGTACCTGGATGATACACAGCAGTGACTGGCATCTCCGAACGACATTAAAAGCTTCTTTTTGACACCAACAATCGCTCCTCCAAGGCACGGCGCCACCCGCCATCTCGCCAGCTCAGATCACGCTGTCTTTTGTGGGAGCGTTTTCATGTACAAGTTACAGTACAGGCGTCTTCGAATCTGGGAGCGAACGAGGTGCCTTGCCCCCATTTGGATGAGGGTTTGGAAGATGATTGCTAGAACGCCGTTCTATGGCACAGGCTGTCAGATGCGGAGGGGTTTTGTTTAGTTCTCATCAACTATTGATTTGCACACTTTGATTTGATCACATGATGTCTGTTGTATGCTCTGCTGCAATGAACATAATAAATGAGCATCAGACAAGTGTGATTGGAGGTAGAAGGCATTGAAAAGATGCTAATTTTCAGACTAGTTTGGAGCGTCTGTAATAAAAGCACAGAACGTCGCCACTCTCAAAAGCCGTTTATATGAACTGACGTGGACATTTACACCCACAAATGCACCAGATTATTATTTCACAGTTAATTATGCATCTAATTAGAATATTCAAATGAACCTTATTCTCTATTCTTTGATGGCAGGGTTCTTTCCTCAGAGTGGCAATGTGATAACCTGCAATCTCCAGCACAGCAAACACCTTCTCCTTTGATGTCCCCCGAACTCACGTCCCGGCAACAAAGCCGACCAATTACAAATGAGCTAATTAACTAAATTGTTGATGGAGCATGAAGAGTTCATTTCACTCTGTTAGCCACGCCATGACAACACCACACGTTGCCATTAGCTTCTTCTGCTCATCTCCAACCCATCATCCATTCACATAGACATTCGGTCATTTCTGAGCACCGCCTTCAATTGGCTGACAGACATCTTAGGGGATTTTATTAGGAGATTCTCTTTTTGTTTATTGGCCTGCTAAGAGCTTAGTGCAAGAGCTGAGACTTGTTTTGAAGTTATGAAATAATTTGGGGAGTTTGTCAATAAAGGACATCAAATATTCACATATAGGCCAATGGCATCATTTCCTGCTTGTTATTAAACTATTTCATAACTGTAACGAAAGCCAATTCAATCTTAACTTCTTGTTAAAACAACTATCATAACATTGTTTATCGATGTATGGCTCTTCTCGGAAGCAATAGAAATTAAAAATGTAAAACAGGAAACACATTGGGACCATGTGTACATCCCTCAAAATGGTATAGAGGCATACTTAGCGAAATACTGCAACTTTAAAAATCCACATGATGGATCATACTTACTTCAAAAACTGTCCAAAGTCATCGCAAATACTTTCACATCCTGGCCACTTGCACACTCCGTGGCCATAGAGGGAGTGTGACACTGCGGTCTCTTCATGCAATGAGCTGAAAGAGAAAAAGTGCGTGTTAGAAATTACGAAAATAAACATGTTGTTGGCCACTTACACCTGTCTGGACAAAAATTGCTCAACGTTGGGTCAAAATGGCTCAATTTCCAGCACTTCTCAGTATGGAAGCTTTTGAAGGGAAGGTGGATGTGGACTTGATGCTAATAAAAGCTGAAAAAACATAGACTCTCTCTTGACATCAAGCCACCTTGTGATTATTGATCCAGAGTATCACTGAGGAGACACAAGTGTGTTAAAAAACACATGGCCCCGCCAAGTAAAATCGCCCGTCAACATTTTTTCCTTGACTTCCACCTTGTAAAGCCATTACAGGCAACTTGTGTAAATAGCTAAAAACGGCCCCTATGCTTTAATTTTCACCAGGAGATTCATTTGCGGTGGAACTGGCGTTTTTAAGGACACAACCTGTTGTGAAAAGACATTGCGGTAAGTTACGACCACCAGTTCTAATGGTGCTGAGGGGCCAATGTGTGAAAGTAAGGCTAAGCAGACCAACGCAAGTGTGTGGCACACAATTGCACACACAAACCTTGCTGGCTGTTTTACCTTGCCGTTATCGATCCAGCACATCTTAGAAAGCAGCTGGCTCTGACAACACAACACACTCTGTGATTACGAACGACCACGGACCCGAGAGACTCCGCCAACACACAAGAAAAGAGTGTAACCTATTTCTTAAATTATTTCCGTGTCTCTCTCTTTCTCTCTCTGTTTTTTTTTTCCCTTTTTCGTCTCAGCCTCTAAAGATATCTCTCTCAAGAAAGGGCTTTCTGTGAAGATGCTACATACTTGAAACCAATTACACAACACATCCACCCCCAGTGAAGTCAACGGCTGTTGCTATGTACTAACATATGGCCGCTACAGACTGAATAATACATGGAGAAATATGCGAATCTATGTTTTACAGCAGCTGTGGAGCATATAAAAGGTTCGTCGTGCATATAAACGCTCAGGAAAATGCCACACTGGCATAGTGTGTTCTATTTACATGACAAGCTGAGTATGTAAAGCAATTTCAAAAGAAAAGCCAGGTATTAAATACTTAATGTACAGTGAGGTGAGCTGTGTGTTCCTGCCACTGAAAGTTGCACCTCCTTGTCTTTGATATACCGGAAGACGATGCGTTCAATCGAGTGCAGTCTCAAGGGAGGTTTCATCTCATTTCCACTGTTTTTCAGACAATAATAAACTATTGATGAGCAAACAAACAAAAACACACAGTCCTCTCCCTGCAGGAATGAGCAGTTTTCTTTTGCAAATGGGGACCTACAAATAAGCGTTCAGTCGTTGTTTGCGTTGCACATGAAACGTAGTTTAAACGACTGTTTGGTTTGTATTTGTTAACATGCCGTTTGTTCATGTGTACAGCACTCTTTATCAGGGGGATTTCAGATCATGTATGTCTGAAAAGGGATTTGGAGTAAAACAGAGAAGACGCTTTTATTCAAAGTGACTCTACGCAGGCAATCCAGCTGGATCTCAAGGGCCCGATGGTGATTGGGTATGCGGTAGAATAAACCAGCACATCTTCTCTATATTTAGATTTGGCATGCATGTGTGAGTGTGTCATGGTACCTCTCTCTCCGGTTGTTGTTGAGGGCTGGGGACTGGCCGTTGGACATGCTGTGATGAGTGATGGGTGGAGAAGCTTTGGGGTTGCTGGTGGAGGTAGTGGACGTGTTGTTGTTGGTGCTCAGGTCCAGGCCGCTGTGTTTCATCCCATTATCCTCCATGGTGTGGCTCGCAGTGACGTCTTTCCAAAGTTGCTGGAGTTCAGCAGGGCTCAGACCAGCTGCAACACAGTGACAAACAGGTTCAGAAACAAACGCTCACATAAAAACTCTCAATATCCCAAATCTTCCCTTTTCTAACAATGTCGGTAAACCTGCTCTGCTCTGCTGTGAAACTTGAGCATCACACTTAAGCATCTGGAGGTAAACCGGCGTGAGATCGACCCGGACGCTCATCCCTCGTTTCGTTTCTGTAGTATCCGAAAGTACAAAGCAACCGGGAACTCATCTGCACATGATTATGCATTCATAAACGAGCCTCTGCGTGCAGAATCAAATCATCATATAATCCCTTGGATGATAAAATGACTATTCCGCTTCGTGTCGCCCCGACTATACTCCAATTAAGAGCCATTTTCAAACTATTGTCATCCAGCGCCATTTCGATAAACACAGTAGCACCAGGTGTTTGTTCCAGGAAAAAAGCAAATGGCAACAGCTCGTCTTCCTCACAGCACTGAGCTTGCACTGCGAGTCCGTAAACAACAACAACAGGCAAGGAGGGGAGGGAGCGAGGGAGAGAGAGAAAGAGAGAGGGGGTGAGAGGAAAACAACAAGCACACAGACACAAGCAAGAGAGAGAGAGATAGAGAACTAGAGGAAGAAAAAAACACTGGAATGGAAAGGAAAAAACAGCAAGAAACAAAAGAGAAAAAGATTTTAAAGAGGACGCAACCACACACAAACACAGTCACGTGAGTATGTTACCTGGCGGCAGAGTCTGTCCGGGGAGGGTGGGCTGTCCTGGGCCGGGGGGCATAGAGAGGAGGCCCTGCCTCTGCATGTTGAGCAGGTGCTGCTGCTGCTGCAGTTGCTGCATTTGCAAGAGCTGCTGCTGAAAGACCAGCTGCTGTGCCGCCAACTGCTGCTGCTGCTGCTGTTGCTATAGTGAGAGATAGAGAGAAAGAGAGAGAGTGAGCACACACACACACACACACACACAAAGCCTTAATCACACACATGGACTAAAAAGTGTATTCGGTTATACATGTGGCCCAAGTGAAACCTTGCCGTCTGTCTTCGCCTTGTCTGCTTGTGTGTACTGAGAACTGTGTGTGAGATGTGGGTGGGAGCGTGTGTGGAACCCCCTCCTTCCCCCATTGATAGTTAATTGTCTTGCATTTCTAATGGTCCATTACAGCTTATGGGGCCATCGGGAGGGGGTGACGGAGGGAGGGAAGCGGAGAGAGATTTACAGCATCCCCCCACCCCATCCCCTCCGAGCCCTGTTTACCGCCAGTGGAGCCTCTTGCATAAGCTGGCGAAGACAACAACAAAAACAACAACAACAACAACAGCAGCGGCAGTGGCAGCCAAGCACAGAAAAACAACGCAGAGCTTCAGTGATGAAAGCACAGCAAGTACGCATTTCACAGACAAAAATAAACCTGTAAAATCAGATAAATGTTGATGTTTGGAAATAAAATGGCAACAGAAAGAATTAGCAAAATCATTCACAGAAAACAAATGGTGAATAATTCCTGGAGGTGAAAAACTATCAGGTCACACTTTATTTTGATGGTCTGCTTGTTGATTTATATTACATTGCATCTACATTGTGTCTCATTAGACTATAAGTACACTGTTGGGTTAGGGATGAGGTTAGAGTTTGTGTAAGTTGACGTGTATTTGCAAAGTGTCTTATATTTAGTTAAATGTCTGTTGAAGAAGCAGTATCAACAGATATTAAGAAGACAGTCTACTATACTCAAATGGACCATCAAAATAAAGTGTCACCAATTATCAACCTAATAATTACAATTTATTTAAATTATTATGTTTACAACAAACATTTTGGGAGATTGGATCTCAATCATGAAACCCCAAACACTAAAAAAAATCCAAAGTGCTCATAAAACTAGGTAAACGTTTAGATGGTATGCACTGAAACAGATGAATAACAAATCGCTAACTGATCCCACAAGTTCTTCGTGAATAAATCTTAATGTTTGTATCATTTCATATGCAATGAAATGACAAGGCTGTTTGGAAATGTAAATCGGTGTAGTAGTTGCATTTCCATGTTCCACAGACTCAATTTATTAGCTGTTTTTTAGGAGGTCTGGCTTAAAAATGACTGAAGTTTGCTTCTGTGGACAAAGTCTCCAGAGGTCCATTAGCAAACTGAGAGCTAGTTTCTGCTGAGACCCTGTTAGCTTGAGCTCTCTCTCTCTCTCTCTCTCCCATCCCTTTCCCTTCCCTTTCTCCTGTCAGAATACATTACGACCTACTCAGTGACAAGAAAGCAAAGACCCCCATTACAGGAGGAAAGTTAAACTTCCAATTTTTGCTTGGAATTACACCAGCGGTAAGACTGAGCAGACTCTAGAGGAAGACCTTCAGTCAGGAACGGTGAGGAAGACCTCACTCCCTTAGTTTAGGGATGAGAGAGCAAGAGAAAGAGAGGCAAAACTTGTGATGCGCTCACTGGAAAACAGACTGCATAATGGAGTGAGCCGTGCGGATTGGCCCCGTCGTCTCGTGAGAAATAAGGGAGCAATTTCTATTCCATATTTGATGGCAGGGGCCTGAAAAAAATCTATTCGCAAATCCAAACAGAAACAAAGCCTCCGGGAGGTCAGTCCTGCTTTCTGTAGGCCCTGCATAATGGCTTGCTTGAAGAGAGACAATGGTAGAAGGTGCTCGTTGAAGAGTCTGCTGGGGGTGGGGGACGTTTCCCGCCTGCGATACCTAGCTGATCAATTTAACTGCTTCCCCACGTTTTGTTTGGATTGCAGCCGACCCCCTCCTTCTGCGACGCGCTTCGCTTTTTGATGCCTGCTCCTGAGTGTCAGCAACCCTCTCTTTCAGTCTCCTTCTGTCTGTCTGTCAGACGGATCCGCGGTCTGACTGTCAGTTTGATTTATGAGCTCGCTGCGGTCGAACTTTTCTGCTCGTCGGCCCAAACCAGCGTTTCATTAATGAACGGACTCTGCGCGGTACGCTAAAGTGGGCATTTTAGCGTCAACGTAACTCTGAAGTGCCACCGAGGACAGAGCTGAGACACCTGACAATGTTGCATGCCTAATTTCAGCACTCATTTGGAAGCGTTCAAAAGTTTCCACTATAGTAAAAGAGCCTTATAATGACAGCACAAGTCGCTCATGGTTAGAAATGAGAAAGAAACTGTCACATTGCCTCATGCATGTGTGCATTGTTGTGCGTAGCGTACCTCTTTTGCTTGTTTGCCTGGGTGCTGTTGCTGCAAAAGCTGTAGATGAAGTTGTTCCTGTTGTTTCTTATAAAACTCCTGCAGGTGTTGCTGTGGAAAGACATGGACATTCATCATTACGACATAGGGTAAGGTGTAAAAAATCCAGTACTTCTTACTGATTTCCTTAGGTTAAACATAAGAACTCTTGCACAAGCCATGTTGGCCATGAGGAGTTAGAAAACACACCATACCCTAGTCTATGCTTGTGACAAACAAAACAACTTGGCTTAAAATCAATTTATTTTCCTCTGCCAATAGCATTTGTCTTAAAAGTCTTTAAACTAACAGCTTGGATCAAGTACAGTGAGTGTAAGTGCTCCTAATGCATTAACCGCTATGCTACACCTTTGACAAAACAAAGCAGCTGTTGTATATGACTTGACAATGTACTTGTATCCCTTCTCTCCCATAAGTGTGGCCATACCTCAAAGCTGAGCTACAACAGAACAAACAGATTCTCAGCCGACTCTGGGCTCCTGAGGCTGCACGACATGCCTGGATGTGCTTCTGCATGTCACATCATAAATAACGTCTCTCTCTGGTTGAGACAAAGAGACCAGCACTTCCCCTCATCATGCATCTCCATATGGACTTTTATGCGGCTGCACATTACCGCTAGAGGAACAATTAATCTTATTGCCTATATATTTTTTCCTCTCTGATGCCTTGACAGGCAGTGAAATTCTGAAATAAATGCAAAGCACTCAAAGGAGAGAATTCATCATTGTGAATTAATGCATTTAGCACACTTCTCTTCTTCGTCTCGGAGCGCTGTCCTCGGGAGCTCATCGTTGAGAATACAGGAACCGAAATCTCCCATCTCGTTCAGCGGGAGCCGTCTTCAGTACAAGACGCTCGTCACCTAATTATAATCAAGGCTAACTGAGTTAATGGAGATGCTTTTAATGAAGAGCTCACTTAGAGAGATTTTAAAATCACTTCTGAAGATATAATCTACTCTTGTCAGAGATGTGTTCTTAGCTCACAAGACAATCCTCCCATTTTTCATGCCCTCACTATACTGTTGATGCTAACACCTAACAAAATGGTACGATGATAATATCATGTGGTTTTTGAGGAAATCAAACTTGTGTTGTTCAACTTGTGAACAGTGAACTCCATTCGGCTAGCTTGTTTCTGTGCTCCGTTTGTCCCCCCAAAAAGTCCCCACTGAAAACAACTAATTACATGCCTGTCCACATTTGTTTCTCTGATCTAAATATGTCAAGGACATATGGGAGCAAAACACTCGAGTTTTGTACGGGACAGCGAGTGTTTGTGTGTGTTCACCTGCTGAAGCATGACTGCCTGTTGTTGTTGTAAGAGGGCTTGGAGCTGCTGGGGGGAAAGGACTTGCTGTTGAAGGATCTGCTGCATCTGTTGGGGTGTGATCACCTGTGGACTCATCATTGCCACAGATACTGGCACCTGGGAGAGATGGATGGAGAGAGAATGAAACGTTAGCCATGTCTTGTGCAAACTCTTCCAAGTCAAGCGCTGCTTCTCGAACTCTCTGGAAACGGTGCAGTATGTGTAATCATTTGGCAGTGCATGTGTACTTTTTTCCACTATATATTTTCTGTCAGCTACTCCCAATGGGAAAAGCACTGCGCTTTAAATAGAGGAGGACCTTAATTAGCTGAACCCTTCAACTCCCTCAGGCGATTTCTAGTGCTCCAACACAAGGCAGGCAGGAAGACGCACATCTCCAGAGCTGACTGTGGGTCGTAAGCGGACACATGGCCTGTTGAGGAGCAGCTAAGCTAAGTAGCATGGATTCAGGCTGCTGAGGGTTAGAAGCTTTGAAAAGTCTGCGAGAAACTCCTGATTGAAGCTGAGGCGCTGTGAAGTATTCTGTTTTACAGAGGTGAGGGGAATTACCAGTTGCCTCTCGCTGCGCATTGAAGTTTCCAAGTTGCACGCTTGGAAGAAAGCAGCCAGAGGCACAAGTCTTCCACGAGATGTCATTTTTAAAAATTCATGTCATTTTTTAAATGATAAGAATCATTAAAATACCAGCTGTCAAACTGTGCGAGAGAATTTTTTCGGCTAAAAAAACAAAACAAGGAAAATATTTTCGCAGCCCAGCGCTGAGCAGGTTTTCTGGAAGCGTGCAACATTTACATTCATTTGACTTGATTTTTTTTTTTGTGCTTGTGTCTAAAATTGAACAATGAACAGAATAAAAATAATTGCCAGACAAATGTTTTTTTTTTTTTTTCGAGAAATGCTTGCACACTTTTTTTCTGGACGCTGCACCTGTCTACAGACTCTTCGGGGCATTCTTTGTACTTTATGAAGCATGCTGCATGTTGCATCGTCTAACAGAGCAGCTTCGACAGATGCTGTCTATCATCAAGACAGCTGAGCCTTCGGCGTCATGACAGGTAAACATCTCTATTGTTGTGGTTTTTGAGCTTTAGAAAAAGACACGAGGCTCCATTAGACATTGCGAAGGGGTCCGAGCAGCTCCTCGTGCTGGCTAATCAAGACCGCTTGATTGCTTTCCGTACGTCTGAGCTCTCAGGGCCTTGACACGTCCTTGTTTTAGTCTCCTGGCTCGGCCCAGCTCAGGTTCCCCTCTTTGATTAGCAGAGACATTTGCATGGTCACTACACATTTTTCATTTTAGAAGTCATTATGCATTAGCGCTCCTGAGCGCCGAGCTTGACTAATCCTGATGAACTGAGTAGCGGAGCTGAAGGTCACACTCCATCCCCACTCATATTCATATTCAAACAAATCCAAGCACCATTCTTCATTAGACTGGCCCCAAAACTCAACGAGCAGCACCACAGAGGGTAGCGCACACACAAATACACTTTCTTTCTTTCTGTCTGTCGGTCTCTCTTTGGGGAGGAAAGGTGTGACGAGGGAGGAGGTATTGGAGGAAGAAGAAAAAAAAAAAAACAAAGGAACAAAGCAACAAAGTCACAAATTAAACAGCTGCATGTAATTATGCAAATGTATGCTTACACCTTCAATGTTATTAAACCTTAAGACACATTTGTGATGTGTAATTACCCCCAGGTTCAGCCAGGGTTCTGCGCCGGCCTAAATGACAATATAAAGACCAAAGCATGAAAATACAAGAGGAGATGTTCTCATTACGCCCATTATTTGTATATTTAAATGAGCGACGGACTGAATAACGAACAATCACCTTGTCTGCACCGCAGCACGGCGAATACAATAAACATGTAAATTTCGGAACAATTCTCAAAGTTTATTTATCGACCACAGCTGACTGCGTGTAACTCAGCGCGGCATTTTTGCCCTGAACATAACAAATAGGAACAAAGGAGACCAGAAATAAAAGCCTCTCATTAGCTTTTTAACAGATCGACGGATGATACACATCTTCATTTCATTGCTTTTCCAAACAAAAAAAAGGCGAGACAAAGTTGAAGTTTCGGCCCACTCACTTCTGAGTGGTGCACAATGCTAATTCCAGCATTTAACGGCTGGCGTTTTCTGCATGATATATCAGAGCTTGAAAGATGAAAGCAGATAAGTAATTGCTCTCCTGGTTCTTATTCTTCACTGACAACCCATAAATTTAATTTTACACACACGTTCATTTACATTTTCGAGTATATGACATGATAATTGGCGGAATATAACACCTCCATTCCGCGGGATACTGTGGGGGGCGATGATTGACAAGCCGGGTGAATTGAAAGGAACAGAGGCTGAATTGCTTCTCCCCGAAATGATTTCGCCAAGACGGGGCATAATTAATGAGCGTTTGCCAAAGGGTCGAGCCGTAAACAGTGGCAGACAATGGGTCCTTTTCCCTCGCATGATGCGAGATGAAGAAAACGACTGCGAGAGAGGCAAACGATGCAGCATAGTGAGAGCTAGAAAACTTCAAAACTTAGCAGATAATGGCATTCTTCATGAATCAAAGCGTCAGCTTCAATCACCTGCACTTCAAGTACTCCAGCTGAGAGAAAATTTACTTAGAGACCAGCAGCTGACATCTCTCCTTCTCTTTTTTTTACAAACAACAAGCACGTCCAAAAAATGACAATCCACGAAGCTTTGATTTCTATTGGAAAACTACAAATACAAGATGATCTCCATTGACCTGCTCTTTAGATCCACGAGGGCCTGAACATAAGACAGCGAGTAGAACAAATAGCTTTAAATTGGTCAGTGATGAGAAAACATCAGTGGACCTCCTGAAGAACGAGCAGATCATTACAGGGCTCTCGCTATGCTGAAACGTGTCTCGATGTGAGAAAGGTCAACTGCACATCATACGAATCAAGACCTTGAGCCTTACTGCAATGCCAACAACATCTGAGATAGCTGTTAAACAACTATAATTAAGAGCAAGCTCACAAGTGAAAATCAGCTCACGCACATCTGAATGGACTGAATCAGGGGGCTGCTTTAGAGAACTACACGTCAGAGATACTGTTCAGATAAATAAAATGAGAAATGGGGGAAGTGCAATGGCAGTTACTTTAGCAGATGGCGACAGCATGTTAATTGCGTGGTGTTTTACTTGGACAGTTGGAGTAAGAAAGAAACAGACTTGTATGCTCACTGTCCCATTATTTAAATAGTTTTCCCTGGATTTTTTAAAGGATCCTGATCTTTCTATTTGGAAAAAAACTAGCATTGTTATATTCGGTCAGTAATGAATGGTTCTGCAGTCCAGGGTTTATTGATAAAGCTACTCTACTCTGAAATCCACTAATACTTTTGAGCCATTGACAACATAAACAAACACATACTTGCACTAATCTAAACCTGACAAGCATACATACGCTCACTCACTAGGTTCGGAGTTAAGTAGATTACAGGAACGTTTTCCCAAATCAATTTATTTTACAGTTCAGCAAAACAGTATTGGAAGTGTAATGCACTTCAAATGACGACAGAGTGGCTGTAGCCTATGTTTGAGTCCTTCCTCAGAGATTTATCATTATGTAGATAACCTCATTTTTGTCAATGAAGGATCAACTGGAAAGCCTAAGAAACCAACCCTAGTGCGCTTTCCAAAGGCAACTATAAGAGGTATTGCAACAAAACCACTGATTATTAAAGACATAGGGGTCCAAAGACCACTACTGTTTGTTTTACATGAAAAAAACAATTGAAAAACAATTCCTGTACATAGAAAAAACAACAACCAAATATGGCCTTCAGGACTTTTTGATAAGCATGAAGTCTACATGAGCCTGGATTTGTCTTGTCTTCCTTTGTTTTCCCTAAATTTGTTTCCCATCGCATCAGAAACGGAGCCTCATGTGGCATTTACAGGGAAATCTGTCTCTCTCACTCACTCCACATCGGCCCCCCTCCTCTTCTCTCTCTTGAAAGCTTTGTGATGTCGCAGGTAATAGGGAGTCTGTTGGATCGCTCTCCTCGTCAAGTGACACGCAGTAAATTACACAAGCTTCAAGCAGCTCGCTGAATTATAGTTCATCACTTGGAAAGACTTCCCACCACTGGGCTACACGTATCAGATCTGCCAGTTAGGATCCAATTAACACCCTGGCCAGAGTAATCAGACTGCATGTGTAAGGGCTGCTGGAACTGGTTTATTACTCCCATGCATCTTCTGTCAGAAGGTACAGTTGTTGCTTCTACATCAAAGCGGTGCCATGGCACTATTCTCCCAAAGCCCCCCTCCACCCCCCACCCCAATCCTGTCATACTGGCTCTTGCCTAAGGGTTATACTTTAACTTCTTTTGCATCCCAATGTGAGCCCCTGCAAAGTGAATCCCTTGCAATTTACACATGCTGCCCACTGGTTCAGGTAAAGAAGGATGCTTTTGCAAATATCTACAAATATAGTTTTTCTCCTTCTTGATTTCAGAGCAGCCACTCAGAGTTGAGGAGATTTCTCCTGTACAATTTTGGCATGTGCAAAGAAGTTAGACTTAAATGCCACAGGAAAAGCATTCTGGGTATTTTACCAGTTGAAATACAATTGTCTACTTATAAACCTTCAAACTGTAATGCTTTACAAGCAAACAAATACATCCATTCATTAATTTTCATCTGCTTTTCTGGGGCTGGGTCACAGAGGCAGTAGTCTTGAGAGAGAACCCCAGACTTCCTTCTACCCAGACACTTCCTTCCAGCTCCTCGGGGGATCCTGAGGCATTCCCAGGCCAGCCGAGAGACATAGTTCCTCCAGAGTGTCCTGGGTCTTCCCCGAGGTCTCATCCCAATGGGACATGCCTGGAACACCTCCCATGGTAGGCATCCAGGAGGAATCTAAAACAAATGCCCAAGCCACCTCAGCTGACTTCTCTCAATGTGGAGAAGCAGCAGCTCTACTAAGTAAACTTATTTTGGCTTCTTTATCACAACAGATCGGTACATCGACCACTTTACTGCTGCCACTGCACCAATCTACCTGTCAATCTCACGTTCCATCTTTCCCTCACTCTTGAACAAAACCCCAGGATACTCCACCTGGGGTAAGGACTCTTCTTCAACCTGGAGATGCAAACAGATCCTACAACAATCTAACTTGGAACTCTACTTCCTTTCACTGAAATTAGAACCGCAGTTCTGCATTCCGTTTTCAACCTACATTCCAATTCATTTCAAATTGAGCAACTGAAGTGGAATTTAAAAGGCATTCCAAATTCTCTTCAGAATGAAGCAAAACCCTACTGCTGGGTGAACGATGTTAATAATCAATGTTAATATGAGGGCAAGAGTCTCCTTTTATAAATTCCACCGAGTTTGTGCACGGTTCCAGTTGGCGGTCTGAGTAGATGAATTTTAAGGAACATGGCGCAGGAGTCTGACGCTCAGATGAGCTGAGCGTCGCTGACCTTTAAATGGGCGACACTTGGAGGATGGCTCACTGCTCAAGAAGTGATTGGGTTGAGCTATCTCGTAGTTCTCTCTCGTCTTGGAAAGCATGCAAGCAACGAGCCGCTCAGCCGTCTTTCCTAACATAGGAACATTGAAGGCTACGAAAGGCTGTTTGGTTGAGGAAAAAGTTACATTAGCAGAGCATGTTGGGCTTAAAACTAACAAAAAAAGGTCAATGCGTTAGCAATTGGTTTGTGCTGCTGTGGTACGGCAGTGAGCTGAAATTGCTTTGTTTGTTCGTTTCACCTTGTTAATGCTGGGATATCACTCTCTGGTCCCACACTGCCAACAGGTCAGGGGTCAACTCTACCTCTTTAAACACCTCCCTGACACTTAGACGGCTGTATTATATCACCACAGCAGCCCATTGTCACACAACCACATGCCTCTGTTTGTTCTGCATCCTCCTGCTAGCTTATAACTGCTGTTTCGTCAGTATTCAGCAGCGCTAACATGTGTTTTCACACTGTTAAATGCCCATCCTGCTATCAGTATGAGACGCCTGGATGGCACACGGAGCCAAACAAACAAACCGCCATGTAGCTTATACCTGGAGAATGGCAGCTAGGCTGATTGGGAGGGCAGGAGACACAATTGCCAGTCGCGCAGGCTTTCTGTAATCCCCTTTCCCTTTCGTCCTCTCGCTTTTTATTTGTGTTTTAAATGTCAGTGTATAAAATGCGCAGGAGATATTGCCACTCAGAGGGAGAGGCGCTGCGACGCGAGAGGACTGTTGTGTGCCTTGGGAAATCCTTGTAAGCAGCATGGAGAAGGCACAAGGATTTACGGGGAAGAAATAGGTGTTTATTGACTTCTCCTCTGGGCTTACGGGGTAATAATAGACCTGTCACATTACGCAAATGTGGAAAAGCGGCTTCTGAGCGCGTCAAAAGCGCGAGATGAGACGCTGGATAGAATTAGTCAGACGACAGGCTTTAGACACTAATACAAGTAATTAAAACCGTGAGCTCCAGCACTTAGATGCTTGTGCAGTAAATAATTTATACGCCATGATCTATGGATCACTTTCCCTGGACAGGGAAAAGGGGTGGATTCATCAGTGTCAGGGAACGAGAAGGCATTTACTTTTTAATGTAAATAAGTCATTTTTCAAACTGCTTGTTACTTGGCATGTCTAAGTACACTCAACATGATCTGAATTAGGTTTCTTTTAGTAAGGGAAAAGAAATTAAGTCGAAAAAAAAAGCGATTTGAAGAAATAATGTATAATTACTACAAGGTATGATCAATCGACAGCATTTGTGGCTTAATGTTTATTACTACAATATTTATTACTGTAACTATTGCCAACTTTATTGCTAAAAATGATGTTAATTAATTATTTAGAGATCAAATAACACACGTTCTGACAGAGAATTGCTTTACAATAAACTTTAATTGTCTTGTTTTCAAAGTAGGGGTGAGTTGTTAGCATCATGCTATTGATTTAAGCTTCATTAGTATTGAACGCAGCATTTTCCTAAATGAAAGCAAAGGATTACTACACGTTTAAGTGATTAAAACAGCACAGAATACGTTAAAATAAAGGATCGACAGCATTGATTAACTACAGCCTGAGGACAGCACTCAACAAGCCCTGATTCATATTGATTCATACGGCTAACATGAGGCAAGGATGGCATAAGCAAATGTAAATATTCAATATTTACCATCCTCTAGTGTTATTAGAGTCAGGGGCTCGGTCATGGGCCACCAGTTATCACAGACCTTCCTCATCCAATATCGCTCGGCTTCCTCTGGAAGTATCGCACGGCAATTTGCAGTCACGCTGTGTGCCGGGAATCCATTCTCTGAGTATACAGACACCGGCGAAACTACAATAGATACACGAAAGCGCATCCACCTAGGCTTTGTTTTACAACTAATATCTTTGCACAGAAAGTGAGAATAATAATACAAAAGGAAAAGCGTTGATTTCCCTAATACAAAAGTCATATTTGCACGGACCAAACTGAATATATTAAAAAGTGAAAAGCAACAAATTTTTAACTTCTGCGTAATTAGATACACAAGGGTGTGACTCTTGAAGAAGGTGTCGCCATTGTTACACTCTGTGAAAATATTAACGACGAGGGTTAACGCCATTTTAAATTAAGTGCGCGGTGTACTAATGAGGTAAACTACTGCTAGCTGATAGCACTTATTAGCAGGAAGGAGGCACACGCTCTCTCACACTTAATTTAAACCTAAAAATATGGAGCCTGGCAGATGTCAAGCGCTTACATAATTCGAGGCAGCGCATTTGTATTGTGGGGATGTGAGAGAAATAACACATCGGCAGTCAGCGGGTAAGTAAACAAGTCTGGTAATACGAGATGCGATGTGCGCGATGCTGCTGTGACCTTTACCAAATCACTGACAATAGCGATGCGGCGCAGCTGGAATCAATAATGGCAAATTATCTTGGAGGGGTACAAATGACATCTAGTTAGGATATGCAATGCCACAGGAAGCCGGCAAGATTTAGTACTTGCTTGTTTCTCTGGGATTCAACAGTAAATATTGCTGTAGGTTGGTTTCTAATATCCTTTTATTTTCTGTTAATCATATTGATGAACACGAATGGAAGGTTTGTACTTAAGTAAATCGCCTAGAAACAACACACTTACACTAGAAATCCATAAAGGCCATTCCAGAAGCAGGGGTGTCCAAACAGGTGTCCTGTTGAGCTTAGCTCCAACCTGCTTCAACACACCTGTCAGGAAGTTTCTAGTGAATAGTAAGAGCTTTATTAGCTAGTTCAGGTGTGTTTGATTAGGGTTGAAGCTAAACACTCTGAGTTTGGACACCCCTGCAATAAGCAATGTTTTTTTGCATGACAAAATTGACCAATAATAAATTATCTGTAAAGCCATATCCAAAATTTCTTTGTTTCCATCTCAAAATAACTTAAAAGTATTAAATTTATGGTTTAAACAACTTTAAAACTCAAATAATACACCCTATACCTATTAAACCATGGGCTGGTTTCATTAGCAGGGTTTAGCTTAAACCAAGGCTAGGGCTTTCACTATTATTGGCTAATTAAGCACCTTTTATACAACTAACTTCACTAGTATGACTTTAAAAACACATAACTGGTGTGAATCTCCAAACTATTCACCTTATTCTCCGCCGACGAGTGGGCGCTGCCATTTGAATCTTTTTGGCTTGAGACTTCCGGTCTCATTCACTTCCATTCATTTTTTGACGTTAAAAACTGCTCATTACGCGGCTTGATGTTGCAATTTGATATTTTCTTATTATATTATTCTACTTGGTCTGTATAGTCATGCAAACATTTGTTTGTAGAGCAAGTAGTTTGACCGTTTTCTGCCGTTTATTATTCCTAGTCATTTCTCAAATAGGCGACTGAATCGGAAGTTCTAAGACAATCGCGAAAACAGGCGCACTTCCGCATTTTAGAATAAGGTCAATATGGCAATGACTTTTTGCTTGTGTCACTTCAAGATGTTTCAGTTAGCTCATACATAGCATGTATACATGCAATTTAATCTAGGACTAGCTTCAAGCCTAGTTTCTGAAACCAGGGCATATGTACTGGATGTAGCGTAAGTGCCTTTTTGACATTTTCACCCCCTCACTTTCATAATGCGTGCAAGTCAAAACTATTCCGTGTTAATCAACACAATGCCACAAATGCTATACCCGAACCTAAAATACCCTTTAATATGTCAATATATTCACACAGCGGGGCTTTCAAGGTTGCCCTAACAGGGGTGGTGAGGTAATGTAGCTGTAGACAACAGAAAGGTTTCAAGTGTGAGGTATTTTGTTTGGTTTCTTTTGGAGAAGGGCAGGTCTGACAGGTTGAATTTTTACTGACAGCTCCAGAATTACATTGCCAAATCAAACAGAGTAGCTGGAACAGAGGAAATCTTTTTCCAGAGCGCCATGTATTATGGATGGACTTAAGAGATTAGCGAGGAACTGCTCACCTGCAACGGACGCTGTTTGTCGTTGTTCTTTGGAGATTTCAGGCCACTGCCTGGTTGCTGTAGGAGTAATTGCCTTGCTGCTTGTAGGGCCTGCAAAGAAAAGAGAAGAGAAAAGGAGACGCAAAATTAGTTTTTTTTCCATCCCCTTCAACTCCGACACACTCAAATATCAAACACAGTGAAAGGTGACATCAACCTCTCGCATTCCATCCACTACACTATTCATTGTTGTTGATGAGCCATGAAGCGTCTCTCAGATATACATTTTTCATGATAATCCACGAAGCCGTGATGAAAGATAAATACAGTTTGTCTAGCACCTCTGAAGAGCAGGAGGGAGAAAAAAAAAACACACAGAGAGTGTCAGTGGTATTGACCTGTCTAGTGTGTGCTCAGCTGAAATACCCACTTCTCTGCAAATTACCGGCCCATTTGCATATTCATAATATCAATTTGAAGTAGAGGCAGGCGATGTGAAGTGTTCCTAGAAGCTGTAATTAAAGTTGACAAAATCAACATCAGATTACCTCAGGAGTGAATTAACAAGGAGCTAAGCATTAGCCGGGCCCCTGAGCACAGGGGTGATGCCGGCCCTTCTCTGCCAAATCACTCCAGATACCTACTTGTCCAATGTCAGATAACAATACCAGCATATTTGCTTGATACTGCTTATAACTAAGGTTAAAGATGTGAACAAATCCCCAACACTATTAAACTCCACGAATGGATCTTGATCCTCCAATTATTTCGTTTGGAGAGTACTTTTACTCCATAACAATGGGCTTGAAAAAGTAAAGCAAAAAGATTGTCGTAACAATCCGAGTTTACACTGATTCAACTCAAGACAACTAAACTGTACAATGCATGCCAGGCCAGTAGTTGGCAATGTCACTTTTAAATCAACTCGGACATAAGCTGTCCTGTAGTCTGCCATTGACGCTAAAGCTGTGAAGTACTCAACACCTGCCTACAGACTTAACAGTATTAGCACCATTTTAACAATGCTGCAATTTTGTAGCTTACACAGGTGAAATTTCTGCCATGAAACTGGCTGAATTGTCTCCTAATCTGGTCCTGCATCATTCCATGGTGCAGGCGACTGGTTGCTGTCCCCTCTTCAGCCAATGAACTAGCTTCTCATCAGTGTAAATGTTCCACGTCATTCTATGCTGTTTAAAGCCTCATCCGAACTACAAGCAACACACAGCAGCAAAGCGACCGGTCAGTTTAACGGAGAGTGAGCGACTTTCGGCGACCTCCATCTACACGAGTGACAGCAATGACCGACATGACAAAGTTGAGAATGCTTCAACTTTATGCAAATGAAGTTCGACTTGAGTGACAGCCAATAGGAGTACCAGTAGAGCTCACGTGATCCGTGCTGTATATTCCTACACAGACCTGCGTTTGCAGCAGGCCGCCACCCAGAGCGACAGTCAGCCACAAAGTCACTGCTAGTGTAAATAAGGCATAAGCTGCGGCATGTTTTCGAAGACCCTCCTCCACCCCAGCTCCACCTGTGCTTAGATCTGCTTACGGGGGTTACATGCATATTATGTTTGCAGCAGTAGCATGTTATATTGGCAGTAGCAGGTCTCAGTACTTGCTCTGCCATAATAATCAGAGCAGCAGCAGCGTAGCAGTTCTATTCCGCCAAGACCCAATACATCAACATTGCCATATACATACTCATTTCCATATTACAGCGGTGTCCAAACTCGGTCCTGGAAGGCCGGTGTCCTGCAAAGTTTAGTTCCAACCCCAATCAGTCACACCTAAACCAGGTAATTAAGCACTTGCCAGGCTTTCTCAAAACATCCCTGCAGGTGTGTTGAAGCAAGTTGGATCTAATATCATCAGCCCTCCAGGACAGAGTTTGGACACCCCTGTACTATGGTAATGAAAATGTGAAGAGTTTAGATGCAAAAAAACACTCTAAATGTCTTCTAAAATTTTCCTCTAAAATTAATATTTTTTATATCAGGATCCTGTGTGTATGTTCAGTAACATCACTTTTATAGCAAAGAATAAGTCCTTTTCTTGGTATTTAAATTAAAATATCTCAACATAAATAAAGGAGGTTGAGAAAAGTTTTCATTTTCGATGGAAAATTCAAATGGCACTTAAAGGTTTTTGCATCTAAACTCTTCATGTGCAAATGTTGATGTATGGTCTTGGCGGAATAGATCTGCTACGCTGCTGCTGCTGCTTTGATTACTATGTCAGAGCCATATTAAATCCTGAGTGTCAATGAAAGAAAAATTTTAGAGTTTCAAGCACTTTAAATTAAAATGGTCGTGCCAAACTGAGTCTGGTTCTCTCAAGGTTTTTTTTTCTTTACTCCTATCAGGTGAAGTTTTTTTCCCTCTCCGCTGTCGCCACTGGCTCGCATGGTTCAGGATTGGTAGAGCTACGCATCAATGAATTTGCTCTTTAGTGTTTGAACTCTCAGTAATGATTTTAAATCAAACTTAAATACTAAAAACTGAACTACACTGTTTCCAGTTACTATGACCATTTATGTGAAGCTGCTTTGACACAATCTACATTGTAAAAGCGCTATACAAATAAAGCTGAATTGAATTGAACTTTGCATAATCAGGTTCCCCAAAAATTTGCCATAAAAAGTTTCCTTTTTAAGTGTAATAACGGTGTAGTCTAGTGTAAATGACCTGATTAAACAAATGACTTACATCATGTAGATTAAACAACATTAACTCATACCCTATATACATGCCCCGAGTCAAATCTAGGGTCCCTTTACCTAGATCAGCAGCTAGAAATACACAAACGATCCTCCTCAATTTTCCCTAATCCTTTCCACAAGCAACCACTGACTTATTTATCCACATAAAATGTAAAAAATCTTTAAAACTTGTTACCGTACACATGTCAGATTGATTCCAGGTAGGTTGAGATGATGTACCTTACAGTCTTCCTCATGTATCTACAAGAATACTGATCCACACCATCAAAAGGGAAAAGCAACTCTTTCTCTACTTCCTGCAGTTGTATGTCTACCGGAGACAGAAGTGAACAACGCTTCTGTGAACACGGCCTCGGTGCCCCGACACAAGGAGCAAGCAACGAAATAAATAAAGCAATATAAACAACACAATAACTTCACATGTGTTTCATCTGTCGGGGAATAGGAGAGCGAAGGTCGAGGGGTGCGAAGAAGGAAAAAAAAAACTCCTTCAGATAAAGAGTGACACTTCTTCCAGCAGAATCAAGGGCTTGTTTTATTTCCTGGTGCTTGCCAGTATCCATGACAACAGCTGCCTTGACAGGATGTGCATATGGCACTGCTCTGCCAGCTGGTGAGAACAATGTTTGAACTAGTACATTGAGATGCTGAGCAAACAGGGGGGAGAGAAGGAGAGAGAGACGAAGGAAGAGAGGAAGAGGTAGGGGGAAAAGTTGCCACGTCTTAACCCGCTGGGAAGGCAGCCATCCCCCTGATCAATTATGAAGAGACAGGGCGAGGAGCTGCCACTGTCTGTCTGGCTGTGCGGTGAGGAGCCAGGCTCTCCGAGCTCCCGGTAAACAAACACAACACAGTGGCGCTGGGTCCTAACAGCATCGATCTGTCTCTTCTGATGCACACACACACACACAGCCGTTGTCTGATACTTCAGGGGACACCAGGTTGTGCAGGAGAGCTGGACTACTTCAAATCAGTTCCCTGTCCTGTCCTGTCTTTGAACAAACCGAACCGACAACAACAAATGCAAAGATGACAACCGGAGTCTGGAGCTTTGAATGTGGTATACCTGTCTAACTGGATAACTTTGGTGGTGGTGGGGGGGATCGGGAGGGAAACTCTAGGACTGTTTACACCTGGTATTAAAATCTATTTTTGTTGATGATCTAATCGCAAGGTAGAACATGCTGAATAAAGGTTTAAATAGGGTCTGGAATGATTTGAGCTTGTCGTAAATTCCAGGAGTAGTTTTTAACACATTCCTTTTACATTTACATGTAGTCATTTAGCAGTGTTTCTCAACCATGTTCCTGGAGGACCACCAACATGGCATGGCACACCCATTACAGGTCTTTCAGTCTCTGCTAATGAGCTGATGATCTGAATCAGGTGTGTTTGGTTGAAGAGACATGGAAAACATGCAGAGCTGGTGGTCCTCCACACTCTTAGAAATAAACGTACACAAACTGTCACTGAGATGGTACCTTTTCAAAAGGTACACATTTGTACTTAATGGGTCCATATTGGTACCTCAAAAGTATATATTAGTATCTAAAAATTTTAAGAGGAACACTTTTGTACTTTTCTCTTGTACTTTTCAGGTACTAATATGTACCCTTGAGGTATTAATATGAACCTTTTATGTACAAATTTGTACCATTTCAAAAGGCACCACCCCAGTGACAGCTCGCATACCTTTATTTCTGAGCGTTCAGGAACGTGGTTGAGAAACACTGTCCAAGGTGACTTACAATTGAGGAGGCATTTAGCGATTCAACAAGAAGAGGCAATACATACAAGAAGTGCTAGTTTTAGAGATTTTTTTTTAGTTTTAGAGATTTTTTTTTTGAGAGAGAGAGAGAGAGAGAGAGTGTGAGAGAAAGTCTTTTGACAGGTGGTTTGTCAAACCCACTCACCTGTAGAAAAACCTTCTCTCTTACTCACTTTCTGTGAAGCACACTTCATAAATGCACAGTGTTTTTGTCGGTTAATGTGTCTAGTGAGACGAATGAGTGTGTTTCTAACAGGTGGTTTGTTAATCTCCCTCACCTGTGTAAGGCACACTCAGTATTTATAGTATTTTGAGTTGGTGTGTGATGAGGTGGCATAGAGGGTCTTGATTTTATTGGGATTCAGATGCTCTCTGAAAATATGGGGTTTTAGTTGTCGTTTGAATGATACCAGTGAATCCGCAGTCCATATGGGAATGGGAAGATCCCTCCACTAGTATGGGACGTTGAATGAAAAGGTTTCGGAAACCTTTTTGTAACGACCTTCCCCTCCAAAAAGTGGACAAAAGAGATGGACTAAAATATTAGCACCATTGTAACACGACCGTAGCCCAATCCAAAGTGTTTTACAATGATAAAATGCCAATTAGAATTAT